TACCAATAGATAACCTCTCATCACTTGAAGGTGGCGTTGGGAATGGCCATCTCAACGGACCCTTTCGGGACTTACCACTGTAGGCCGATTCCAGCAGGATACTCAAGGGTCGAAGTTGAGCTGGTGGAAGCTGCGTATGAGGACCTCGAGTTGGACTACCCAGGAGGAGATGGTGAGACGCATCTACGAGACACAAGCCACGCCATCATAGTATGGCGCAAGCGGTACATCATCCTTCCTGGGCGACAAGCAGCGTCTCGTGCACCATCTCCTCCGGCTCCGCCATCTCCTCCTGAACCATCTCCTCCGGTTCCTCCGCCACGTCCTCCTGCACCATCTCCTCCGGCTCCTCCGCCACCTCCTGCTGCACCATCTCCTCCGGCTCCTCCGGCTCCTCTGCCTCCTCCGCCTCCACCATGTCCGCCTGCACCTCCCAAGACAAGGTCTCGCCAAGCTCCACCGCCTGCCCGCACAAGGGCAACGAAGAAGGCGAAAGTTGACGCCACCAAAAACAAGTAGCCACCGTACGATTGCAGTCAAGAGGAGCTTGATGCTTATGTGGCAGGAGAGGTGAAGAGGCAACTCAAGCCTCGGAGTTCTGAAAAGAAGATACCTATTGACCCGAGCGTGAAGAACTTCTTCAAGGGAATGTCCACAACAAACAAGGAGGCGTTACAGATATCGGACTATGACCGAACACTTCAGAGAGCCTATCACAAGAAGTCCAAACCAGTCCCTCAGCTTGGAGAACAACCAAACCAAGAGGTCGAGCCGTTGGTGACCGGCAAAGATTTTGGCATAACGGAATTCATTTCAGACACCGGTCTAACTGTGGATCAGTTGGTTGGAGGCGCACCAATCCCGAAGGCGGAAGTGGCATACAAGTTTGAACTCGGTAAACCGCTTGTCAAACCTGAACAGCTGCAGTCCCTACCGACACAGATATACAAATTCCATGAACGGTACATGGAAATGAGCGCCAAGGGTAGAGAGATGTTCGGAGCGAGGATCAGAAACTCCAACTTCTTGCAAGGAGAAGATGTTCTCTGGATCCATTTCAAGGATCTCTTCGATCTGTACCAGTTGGACGCCATCGACGTCTCTCTTCTGAGCGCATGGATTTTGTGAGTATCTTTGAGTTCGATTTGTTTCGTTCAATAATTAGCTCCTGGCATATATGTAAGCAATAATACTTTCTTTTCATTGTTGTAGAATGGAGATTCAAAGGGCCCGATGGCGGAGGGTCTGCGATACTGGGTTCATCGACCCTCGGAAAATCAACACCGAAATGATCGACAAGTACGAGAAAGACACAGAGGACAATCTCGTCCATCTCCTAACGCAGCAGCATTTCAAGACGTACATACTACTGCCGTACAACACAGAGTGAGTTTTTATTGTCGCTCGAACAAATTTCGTTCCCATACATATAGCATGTACATTTTCAATCATATATATCTCATCTCACGCATATTCCAGATTCCACTGGGTCCTGTTATTCTTCGACTTGGACGCATGCAGAGTCACTGTGTACGACTCAATGAATAAAGAGAAGAAGATTTTTGACAAGGTCTTCAAACTGATAGACAGGTAATATAATGCCATCTATTCCAAAGTCGCGGGGAATCTATTGCTATTATGTTGATCTCAGGTAATAATTAATTAATCATAGCTTGCAACTACATATGTAGGGCTTGGGATCGGTTCCGTCAATTGGTCCGCGGGACTTGGAAAGAAAAACTTGGACGGAGGTTTCATTTTCCAGTGAGTACATGCATGATCCAAAATTATATTGAATTGAATCTCTAATTACAGTTAATATAAATAGTATATTAAATCTCTCATCGTTTCTCATGTAGTGTGCAAAGCAGGACCAGGAAACTAACTTATGCGGCTACTACGTATGCGAGTATGCCCATTGCCTATCAAACCAAATATGCACAACACGAGAGCTCGATGTACGTATACATAAATCATTCAAAATTTCATTGCTCGATTTGTTAAGTTGTTTATTAATTTCATATATTGATACGTCATTATTTTTCGAACGATAGCGTATTCACATGAGGGATAATCTCCCACACAAGGATTTTATCACGGCTGTTCAAGAACAACTGATGGGATTCATCAACGAAGAAGTCCTTAATCCCGACGGTGAATTCTACTACGACGGATAGACAATTCATAACGTCGGTCCTTCCTCTTCTGACATAACGCCGACGTCGAAGTCGTAGCTATAGCTACCGAGCAAATGAATTGTACTATATATGCATGTATATGTATATTTATATATGTACACATTTACTTTTGTGTTAATATATATTTTGGTAACATATATATATGCACATAAAATGTTAAGTGCTTTAAATTATACATATGTGTGTGTAATATATGATTTATACATACACACACATATATATATGCCTATATATTATGCATATATATGTATTGTAACATATGTATATATATATATATATATATATAATGGTGCACCGATCTTTATTCCCGGTTGGTAACACAAACTGGGACTAAAGATGGTTTGGCCGGCCACGTGGCTGATCGATCTTTAGTCCTGGTTGGTAACATGAACCGGGACTAAAGATTGATCTTTAGTCCCGGTTATTTCACCCGGGACTAAAGATAGCTATTTTTAGTCCCGGATTTGTAGTCCCGGTTGGACAACCGGGGCTAAAGGGGGTTACCAACCGGGACTACAAACGGTTAAATTTAATATATTCTTAATATCTATAGAAGGGAACCAACACCTATTATATACCAAAAGTAAATTAAACTTCCTACAAACGCCTCTAAGTCATAACATGGCATTCCTACAAACATAACTAAACCACCACATGTCACCGTCTAACCTTACGGTAATTTTCATTTAAATTGGCGTACCCATAATTTTAGACCTAGGTATATTTGTAATACTTTCCTCATCTATACATGAGAAAATATGAACGGTTGGTTTAAAAAAAACAAAAAAGAACATAAGCACATAGAGTGTATGATTTGGAACAAAAAGGTATGGCTCGCCGAAAGAAAAAAACATACCCACATACATACGGTTGAAAAGATAAAGCCACATGTAAAAAAATATAAAAGCAAAAAATACATACGTAGTATCATCTAAAAAGTCAAATAAAATTTTCTAGCATAAACGATAGAGCAAAAAACATACGTACGTAATACCATTGAAAAAAATTGATGTAAAATAGAATTTTTTTTCACCATACAAAGATAAAATATATTATTCCACAGACATATGTAGTTAAGATATATCTATAATATAAATATAAAATATCAAATCAACGGTCTATAAACATTCACATTTTAAAATATTTTTATAATATATATCCAATTTATGATATTTGTTGTATTCCTTTAATTAAATGAAGTATTGATGTATTATAAAAATTATATAGTGTTCATAAATACATCACGACACATGGGTTGACAAATAATAATTAATGTTAAGATAATTTCCGAAAAATTTCACATCATATTTTAGGGTGTAAAAAATCCCCTTAAAAATATACAACGCTAATTTAAATATATATCTATAAAGAAGAACAATAAAATTTAGTTGTGTTTTTTTAACTAGATATGACTTAATTTTGATTTATTTAATATTTATATTTTGAAAGTGGTTTTTAGAATTTCTCAAAACTACTAATAAGTAGCATACATGGTACATAGATGTAAAAAAAATCATCAAAATATTTTCAGCAAATAACCTTGCACCCTTTATCCATCATGAGATTTATTATCATATATGTATGTTTTTTCTTTGCCAAATAGTTTTGGCAACAAATAAACAATCAAAATGTGCATTAAACTACTCATGTTTTATTTTATTTATTAAGGAATTCCAACATGTCAGATATAATTGATGGATGTATGTGATACACCCCATCGACGTGACTATAAGTATACTCCCACAAATTAGTTACTATAAAAAAAGTTTTAAAAAGTAAATACATACTTCAAATTAGTAAAGGTGTCTCATGTGATTATCAACAAGTGTTGAAAACAAAACCGAGCACTAAACTATACATATTTTTCAAAATATAAATAATAATTGGTGCTATGGAGATCACCTTGATGGTATGTCTCTTGAGCTATATTTTTTAAGTACTGCCAAATGATTAACCTTGCTCATCTATACCATAAATAGTTGAGTAGCAATGATTAACACTATAAACAAATGGTGTCTACTCTATACCGCAAATCTACTCAAAACCTTAGAAAAAACACTATTTTGATCACCTTCATCTTCTCTTTTTCCTTCTCGACCTAAAGAGAACCAAGCATAGACAATAGAGTTTGCTATGCTGCATACATATGACTGAGTTGAGGTGACTTCATTGGAGGCCACCATCACCAATAGTGCTCAATTTACTACTTACCGATCAATACTTCACGAGGGTGTGATAGTGAATTAGACATTAAAATTGTGCTCCAGGCTAGTCTAGGTGGGCACTCATATATCGATACGAGACCGCATGTTTCAAGGCAACAGAGAAAGTATGTCTTGCCACTATAATTGGCTTCACCCTTTAAAGGGGCATTTATGTATACTTTAACGATGCTATCCTATTAATTGGTACAAGTGGTACTTTTAGAATATTTATATATATGGATTTGAAAATAAGTGAGACACAAACAATTAGGTCTATTGGATATTTTAGTGTATTAATGATGTATTAGGCTTATTTTGTTGGTACATATGCAGTTTCATCTATTAATAGGTACTCAAATGTTAAACATTGATAATGAGTTGAAGTGACAATAAGGAAATTTATATGTAACAGGGACAAAGTTAAATTCTTTAATATGGGCGACATCCTCATCTTTTAAATATATTAAATTCTACATTCTATTTCATGGCGTAGAAATGGTGCGATATGACTTATTTTAGCATTGTTTAAATTCTACTTAAACGAAAAGCATATATATCTATCAACCTGGATGACACGACATCCGTAGGGATGCGTGGATAAAACCATGGCCTTCCAGTAGAAGCTTGCATGGATTAGTTTTATATATTTAGGTGGTACACACTGCAAACATTTCTGCACAACGTGATTGCCGTTTTGATCATATACACACTGCATCAAATTTCTGCCAACCTCGTTGGCCATCTCTATCCTCTGATCCATATCACTTACTTCGAAAGCCTGATTAATTAAAGCACACACTGGATCAATTTTCTATGAAGAAAATTATATAAAGTATAGTTTAATTAAACATTAATTTAAAGCCTCACGTCAAAATTATACATTACACATATTAATTAATTAAAGAAGAATCCATGAAACACCTTAAATAGTATTATATATACCAAGAAATAAAACGGAAAGCTAGTTTAGCTAGTTCTTGAAATCAAACAAACTTATATCAACATTACAGAAGATTGCCCTCTAACAATAAACACGAGCTCTATAATCATTTTGAGATGGAAACAAAGGTATATAATGCATATGCCTGAATTTACTTTGAAATAACCTAGCAAACGTGGTGCAAAAGTAGCTAGTTATAGTGTACGTTCAGATTTTACCTTCTGCATCACTCGACATCCATACACGTGAAGGCTCAAGGCTACCACATGACCAGTTAGTTTACCGATGAGTTCCCTTCTGTAGAAGGTAGGTCCATACCCAAGAAGCTGAAAGGGTAAAAAAAAAAAGCTCAGATAAGTTCCACATTTTCATTATTTTTTGTAAAAAGTTTAAAATGTATATTCATGATGTAATAATCAATAACAAATATTTTTGTTTGAAAATAAATGTCAATTTCCATTTGGGAAAATCTTCTGGACCGCGTAGTTGGCAAAAACATCAATAGCCAACATGTGGGCATGAGGAACAATTTCTTCATACACCATAGCTAACTCTGCCGGTGTTGCTCTCTCAAGCTTATGTTGTATGAAACGGCTTCCAAACGGATCAATGCTGCATATACAAAATACAAAAAGTGAAATTAGGAAATGCTGCTACCAAATAAACCAACTTTAAGATGGGATAAGATGCTCGATATGGCATGAGGTTCAATATCATAATAGTTTCTTCGTAGTAACGCCAACGAATCTCATCTAAGCAAGATATGATTCAAACAACACATGGCACCACAAAATTCATATTCTTACCGAGAAGCTAATTTAAACAACCACACTATAAATAAAACACTAAAAGTTGCATGAGTTATGTGTGCACCTGAAAGCACATAGATGGCCCCTGATGTTGATGAGTCGCATGGAATTGTTCTCTGGATTCTTTGCTTGTTCAAGCAAGAAATGGAACTCAGAATTCATGTTGTTCAGTGTGTTGATCTGTCCATTGGTTTGAGGAAACCCAGAAACATTTTGAGGTCCACGAGTAACTGCATTTTCTGGATATCTCATGGAATATGACATCTCTGCAGTTTGGGCATAGTGGTTCAACATTGTCTCAATAGATTGATGCGTGACGAGGTTGGAAAGGATCTGCTGCTCTGGGTCATGAAATGCACGGATATATGAAATTACACGTGCAAGATGACCCCCATGCAGTTGTGTTCCCCACTGTGAAGTTAAACCTCCTACAACATCAACTACTTCTATTGCTTGAGAACCTAAAAGCTGTGAACCTACACCAAAACTTGATGCAAACGTCATTATATGCTCCTGAGGTTCCAACTCAGCAGTTTCTATCCCATTGTTGCCCAATTGGTTCATGTTTAGGTTCTCATTCATTGTTTGTTGATAGAATTGATTGTTCTCTTCGGCTTCGGGAACATATGGTGGTAGGTCAAAATCTTCGTCTCCGAGTAGTAGTTGTGTGAAAGTTGGTCCCTCCCTAGTATTAGTAGGGACTTGTGTTTGCATTGTCGAGCTATTGCTATCTCTGTCCATGTCAGCATTTGCAAGCACCTTCTGATAACTTGAATTATAACCCTGAAAGAAGGTAGACAATTAATACATGGATATCTTTTATAAATATTAGCAATAATATGTACATCAACCAAACTACTGGAGAAGGAACCACGAACAACACACATGCTAGTTTCAATAGGCAATAGTAGTTCTTCGCTAAGATACATGAAATATTAGGTGGACATCCGATCCATGGGTTGCCCCTCTATGATATTTTTGCTAACCACTCACTTGGACCATATCCAATACTAAATCAAAGTAACAAACGTTCCTTTGTAAATTCTTAAGTTTATTTTTTAAGATAATGGATATGATTTGCATCTCCAGCTTTTGCCATAAGGCACAAATCCAATAAGTTCTTTGAATAAAAAGGGAAAAATAGACATGAGGTGATGGGACAAACCTCCAACTTCCTATCATTTACTAGTGTTAATAGAGTCATATTGATCTTACAGTTTGGGATGTTGGTATGTCAACATAATGATAGAAATTTGTTTCAAAGAACTCTAGCATACTCTAATTGCATTTAAACCTATAATAGTTAGGGCATCCTAGTGGTGATTCAATCTATCAAATGAAAGGGGACCCACCATATATTAATTCCTTTTCATCTAGCATGGGACCCATGCACAATTTAATTGTAATGGTTAGGAAGATAAGTAGTGTCTTCTCGTAATGCATACACTCGTATTTAGTCTTAGACTGGATGGGCCTTCTCCGTCGACCTAGCACCATACGTCACACTCCCATTATTGCCCTTCTAATCTCGCATAATTTTGTTGTTATTAGTTAGGACTAGGGATAAGGAAAGCGGATTAGCTTTATGTATTATTTCCTCAATCAATGAGAATTATTGCATGATCATTTGCACTATCATTTAATCCATATTTAGCATTGGTCTACAATCACCTATGATTGTTGTGATAATATGGTCAATTTGCCTATTTCTATGGTATTGTGGTAACACAACATTAGAGCACATTGTGATGGATCAATCAGCCAACATTAACTCCTTATAGGTGTGCTCTAATGCCTATATGCCATAACAATGCTCTTGTTAGCCTATGTATTAATACGACGTGCTTTTCCTAACTGATGACTTGTGGCATATATATGGCCTTAGTTTAGTACATGTGTACTATATATCTATTAGTTTGACACTTCGCTCTTTCACAATGGTAATAGGAAGAGGGTGGGGGAATACGGTCAACAAAGAGAGCTCTTGACTTCGCTGGTGGTCAAGATTAGAGCTTCGTCCAATGACATAAATGAGTTGCATGTGAAGAGGAAGATGCACTTATTCTTTGAGTATGCTCATTCTCATCTAGTTTATCCGCATATTCAATCGGTTGGTGGCCCCTATATCAAGTGCGGCGTGTATGGAAACAAACTTATGTTAGAAGGATGAGTTACAAATTGTTTCCTACAAAATACACTCATAGAATTTGGATGGTCAAAATAAACTCACTTAATAAATATTGGGATTTATGGTCCTCGTGGCATATACATCCACCATATTGCATCGGATATAGCGACATAAGTGTGACTTGGATAGGCATGTGCTTCTAACATTTTATCTGAAAACGTGGAATTGTACAGTAATCAAGTATATACTCTTATCATGATGCACCCACCCATATTTACTATTTTAATTCATTTCATATTTCACACTGATCAGTGCTAAACAAGATCGTGGCAATGATATGGTTGATTTTGCTTAACTCCGAGACATTATGCTTGAGCATTGTGGTAGATTGTTACGATGGCATACTCAGCCCACATGACTCAACGGAGGTTGGCTTGAATGCTTGCATGTTGTAATATTGCTCTTGTTAGCCCATGTGTTGTTGTGATGTGCTCTGCTTAACAATTGGTTTGCACTAAGCATGGCTATGTCTACAGTTAGGTATGCTTGCTAGATACAGTAGTTTGATACTCTGACCTCTCATGGTGGTAATAGGAGGAGGGAGAGGGGATACATGGTCGACAAAGAGAGCTTTTGATTCTGCGGGTGGCCAAGATGAGATCAGCTTTGTGTCCGATGACACACAAATGAGTTGAATACGAAGGAGGGAAGAGTCACTTTTTCTTTGAGTGCTCACTCTCATCTGGTTTACCCGAATAATAAATTGGTCATTGTGGACAATATCGAGTGTGGCATGCAGGCAAACAAACTAATGTTGGCAAGGACGAGTTACATAAGTTACAAGAGTTTTCCTACAGCTCATAGAATTTGGATCATTTGAAGGAACCCCACTTAACGGATATTGGGATTAATGTCATTCGATAGCATACACATCTTGTATTGCATCTGATAGATCAACATGAATGTGACTTTACGCTACTGGTTTTTACATTTCACCTGAAATTTTGTGATGGTATTCTTATCACAATACATCCATTCTTATTTAGTTATTTACTTTTCTATTTTTGGCATAGATTTGTTCTAACACAAGATCATGGTAACTCCAAGGCATCATTTGTTGAGCATCACGACGAAACATTGTGATGGCATACTCAAATTGCATGACTCGCCGGAGATGTAATCGAACGCCTGTATATTGTAATCTGCTCTTGTTAGACCATGTGCAATTGTGACATGCTCGAACTGTCAACTTGCACCAAGCATGTCTATGCATGGCAGTAGTTGAGTATGCTTTCTATATCTAGCAGTTTGATACTCTGACCTCTCTAGTGGTAGGAGGAAGAGGGAATACATGGTTGATAAAAATAACTCATGACTTTGCCAATGGTCAAGATGAGAGCTTTTGCATCCAACGATACAAATGAGTTGAATGTGAAGGGGAAGAAGCATTTGTTCTATAAATTTGCTCATTCCCTTCTTCTTTACTCAAACATTAAATTGGTCAGTGTGGCCAATATTGAGTGTTGCCTGTGTTACAAACAATTTTCCAGACAAAAACAACCCATAAAATTAATTTGGATAATTTGAAGGAACCTCACTTAAGAAACATTGTGATGGTCGTCAGTGTCATACACATTTGCTATATTGCATCCGATATATCAACATGAGTGTGATTGGACACACGTGCTTCCAAAGTTTCACCCAAAATCTTACAACGGTATAGGAATTAACAAATTGCACTAACATATATTTACTTATTTAGTTCCATATTTAGCACTAATCGATTACATGTCATGTTAATTACATGGTTGACTTGCACGCTTAACTCCGAGGCATCATGCTTGAGCGTCGTCACAGGATGTGGTGATGGCTTACTCAAGGCACGTGACTCACTAGGAGTGTGCTTGAACACCCACACGTTTTAATATCTCTCTTGTTAGCCCATGTGTCATTGCGGCGTCTTTTGACAAACTACCAACTTATGTTAGGCCCGTCCATTATACGCCTGCTATATCTTGTATTGACCTTCCGTGCTAGTAGCAGAGATAGGAGAGAGAATAGTTGGTTTACATATAGAGCTCATGGCACTAGTGCCAGTCGAGATATGAGCTTTGCATCTACCATCACCAATTGACTTAATTGCAACAATGTCAAAACAAGCTGTTGTCCTTCGACTTATGTGCTCCCATTTGGTTTTCCCGTAATTTGGCTAGCGTGGCCATTGTTGGAAGGTGTGTTACGTGTACTAAGTCGTACCAAGTATGGGTAACCTGTTTCCGTAGGTACATTTGTACTTCTATGAGTCTTTTTTGGATAAATGAATGGGGGTGACTAACAAAGCCGAAGCTTTGTAGAGATAAAGAGGGGGTCATGGCCCCCTCCAGCTTTACAATAATCATAATAAGGGCCTTTTAACTTTTACTATTTTAGTATTAACCAAATAGCAAAATAATCCCTGCTTTCGAAAGTTTTTTTTTTTCACATTGGCCTCCTCAAGTATATATTTCTTGGATGGATACCTAGAGCTATGTATCGATCCTCACCACCAACGTATGTCGTATGGGCAGATAAATCATACATATATGGCATCTGTTGTTGCAGACACATCTAGTTTCTTCCTGACCCATCGTTTTTGCATCCTTCATACAGTTTGACGGTAGACTAAACTAACTGCACCCCTAGCTAGCTAACCCTCTTGTAGCTAGTTATCTCTTGTTTAATTTGAGTAGCCAATTGAAGGGGGCCTAAATTAAAACCCAACTAGGGTATCATCATAGGAAAAGTCCAATTTGACCCTCTCAAATGTAGGTAAGATATAATTTGTATCCATCAACTGCAAAGCTGGGTATATCGACTCCTCCAACTACTAAAAGGCAAAACAACTCCCTCGACTGTTTTGAGGCAGTTTTCGCTAATGTGGCATCCACTATGGGCTGGGTGTTTGTTTTTTCCAGTTTAATCGGGTCGGTTTCATATTGGTTTTATGAAAGATCGGTTTCCGTAGAATGACAACCAAAGAAAGTACGAATAAAACAAAAACCGAGTAAAAAAGACCAAACAAAATTGGTTTGTTTTTTTGGATACGGTTTTTACCAACTAAACCCACCCATCGATCAAACATCCTCTCAACGCACATCACTTGAAGCAAGGCATGGTACCACAGCATGCAAATGCATGGAGCATAGCCGAGGAATGCTATGGGCTCCACCGCCCAAGCTCACAAGAATGAAACACTATACTCACATTCGAAAATCGTGTGAAATGAGGAGGAGGCCAATTCGCTTGAACCACTCCTGCATCCGACAACTTCAGTTTCGTTGGAGAGCTCAGTTCACAGCAGATGAAGACCGAAGAAACCACCGAACACCAGAACTAGAACAAAACAAAAACCACATCACCAGCCGAACTCTAAAAAAACCGATGTTTTGGTTTGGTGATCGATTTTGAGGTTTTTGCCCACCCCTACGTCGACATGGCAGCCCAGTCATCAGACAAATTAAACAATAGATATGGGGCCCATATGTAAGTCACTATCTTATCTTCTTTCTCCACTCCCCACTCCCCTCTCTCTCTCCACGACCATGAGCAGCATCAAAGTTCTTTTGCCACTCACTCCTCACTCCCTAGTCTCTTCTTTTACTACAGCCAGAGAGACAACAATGTCCATCGCATCATTAACGTCATCGCGGTGGATCGTCGATGAGGCGGGGCGGCAAGTGAAGTTGGCTTGCGTCAACTAGTCATCACACTTGAAGCTGGTGGTGACAGAGGGGCTTGGGATGCAACCGGTGGACACCATCACCAAGAAGGTGCTTGCCTTGGGGTTCCTCATGTGGACATACCTACCCTTGATCGTGCTGGCGACCAACCCGACACTGTTGTCACTCAACGTTTGGATGTCGCTCCTGGTCCACAACCATGCTGAAACTATCACTGGCGTCAAGGCGAACAACTCGGGGTTCCTCGACCTCTCGATGATCGAGTCATTTGGGGCCATGGTGGACAGGTTAGGCAAGAACTGTGTCATGCCATGGTGATCCAAGACAACCACGTTAGCGAGTCTAGTTAGTGTTGCGATGATGAACGACAAAAACAACTTCTTTGGCGACTGGTACTTCAACCCCGTCGCATGGGTGCAGGGGATGAGCAATATGGCCACGCTTTTCGTCGGTGTCCCCAACGTAGTCGACATGAGTGGCACTAGTGCAACTGCTTTGACGTACGTGCGACCCAAGGAGGTGGAGAACACCAACGAAGTGTGCAGCTGTATGGCGTTGCGCGGCGGGATGGGTTCTTGCTCGACGCCGAGTTCTCGCTCCTCCATGAGTTCGGCCCAGACTCCTGTTGTCGGTTGCACAAGGATGACGGGTACTTCTCCTAAGCCATAGCCATGGCCACTGAGCTTGACCTTGACTGGCGCTCCACGGGAGCTATGCCCTGTGGCAGAGCATGGCCAGATGCCCAGACCCACATGGCCCTCACGCAGCACCTGTTGTCGCGACCTCACTGGTGCTGCTCGTGGAGAGAGAGAGAGAGGGAGAGAGAGGGAGAGAGAGAGGAGAGAAGGGTGCGGTGGAGGAAGAATAAGTGAGGTAGTCACTGACATTGGGGCCCAAGTATATTTTTAAATTTCTTTGATGACTAGGCTACCACGTGGACGCCATGTCAGCGAAACCACTGTCAAAAACAGCTGAGGGAGTTGTGTTGCTAGCTTTTAGTAGTTGGAGGCATCAACCCGGATTTACAGTTAAGGCGAATGAAATAGATCAGACCTATACTTGAGGGAACCAAATTTAACTTATACTTGGTATATTCTTACCTTAATATATTCCTTACACGGTTGGGTACCGCCGCAACCCCCTCCCCCCAAAAAAACCACACCTTTGCTTTTATTATTTACTTAAATTTGCTATATTACATCTTTTTTGTTTTTGCTTGGACGCTCCCTACCTTAGCTTGACAACATTCGTGTCATCGCAGTATATATTTGACTACTTTTTTGTTTTATTTTTTCAGTCATGCCTCGTCCCTTTTTTAAAATTTGATGTTGGGAAGGAGGTAGTATATTATATATTGTCTCTTGAAGAAATTAACTAGCATGCTAATTAAAGTAGTACTCCCTCTGTTTTGTAATATGTATATATATATATATAAATATAATTAACTGGGGCATATATATGGAGTACAAGGATTAATTGATTTTAAAAGCAGGGTCATGCATATTTACCTCGTGCTGTGGCTGTGAGTGCTTGGGTTGCAAGAGGTGGGCTGTAGCTGTACTTGTACCACACGGGAAGCAGACACCATCAGCAGCACCATGTACTGTGTCACTAGTGCTGCTGCCATCAGCAATCTCCTGAGCCGCCTTGTGCTTCATCTTCTTCTGCCTCTCCTCAGTCACTTGCGTTTGTTGTGCCCTTCTTCCACCAGCTGCGTTCTCCATGTCTCGCTCGCACGCCCCTGCCAAGTACAGATTTAATGATGATATTTATGCAACCGGATGATACCGTGTTTAATTTACCACTTGATATAGTGCTCTTGCCTTTTATAACTTCAATCTGAGTTACTTGTGTTTGATGGTTTTTTTTTTCTAACACTTGGTATATTCATGATTTGTTCGATAAACAGATTTGGAAGTTTTGTTCGACCAATAAATCTGCCTACGGAACAGATCATTAGTATATCAAAAGTTAACAAAATAAAAATCAAACATACATATCGTTTGAACACAAACAAAACAAAAACAGCAGAAATTGTCAAGATATATTCTTTTTAGATAGAAAAAAAAGGAGAAGAAAGATCTTTTTTAGGGGAGGCGAAGAGAGAAAATACCAAGCTAATCAAATAACTCTCTCCGTTCAAAAAAAAACCAATCCCATAGATTAATCTGGACACAGTGCTTATCTAAATATGTCCCTATGATTTAATTTTTTTTTACCAAGGGATCAATTTTTTTTACAAGGGTGTAGATCTGAAACCAAAAGAAAGGGGAAAAGCGATCCGACCCGCCGGTGAAGATTTAATAAGGGAGAGCGAAAGCAGCTGGTGCGAGTCTGTTTGACCAATGACCGGATAAGAGGATATTATAAGACATACATGCGTGAAAATACAATACAATACAGATGCATAGATGGATCAAATAGAACAACCTACGGAGATGATAGACGGCCTGGTCCGCCACAACCACACCGGTTTACCTGTCCGCTCGGTCGGCCGGCCTGAAAGTAGCTACGGAGAAGCGGCGGCTGGATACCAGCAGCTGCAGTTCGACGCACAAATCGAAGAAATGAGAAAAAAGGAAATATGGAGTAGTTGTGGAAATGGAAGAACTAATTAAAAGGAGAGTTGTGAGGAAGATAGATATATAGCTAATAGCTTCAAGTTCAGAACGCGTGTACACATGTTTACTACTTGCCCTTTTTCGCTATACATGCTAGGAAAAGATGGATGTGTACAAAACTCAAAAGGCAGATCGATCAACCGATCGAGCGTGGATGCGTGCCATCTATTGTGTGTATATCATCAGCACAACTATTCTGGCCTCGGAGGCTGTGCATGCCATGCCAGGTGTCTACATGCCTAGCTAGCTAACACTTCCCATCGAACTACATGCTCAAAAGAAATAAAGGCCGATGCTGGCGTCGTAGTTAAGCAAATACACCTACACGTATATACTACAAAATGACGCCAACCTTTTTCTTTCCTTTTTCTTCTCTTTCGTGTTGATTTCGGAACGACGCCAACCATCACCTGTAGATGGATACAAACAAAATTTTACAACTCATCGTCTTGCTGGACTATTTTCTTTCTGTTGCGCAAACGACATGAATTCAAAAGTTAAACGCACGCATACATATTTGCTGGTGATGACGACTCATTCTTTATTTCTTTTCTTTTCAGCAATATATATCGATCTCACAGGAATACGGGCAGCAATATATATATTTATGGCCAGGTTAGCTGTATCCCGGCCGTATTTATACATGTACAGTAATAACAGTACTGGCTATGAGTAGTAATTAAAACTGCCAGTATATCGCTCGCTGTCGCTGGCATATGGATCGATTTGATACCTATATACTCCATGTATATTGATTAAGCTTGTCTGGACGGTTTAATTTGCACTAAATCGAAATCCGTCCATCGTATCATCATCACATCGATCACCAGACGACGTACGACACGGAATAGCTAGAGAAATCACATACAGCAGGTATTTTATTGCGTTATCTTTTTTTTTTGATCAAAGGGCCTTAGCACTCTATTTCCATTAAAAGAAATGTAACATTTTATTGCGTTATCTGAGACCGTTAAGAAAGATTTTACTCCTACTGCACTTAAAAATCTTTGTGCTGGTAAAGAGTTTTTATGGCATTGCAAACCTCCTAGAGGGAGGGGTTTAGTCTTAGGTATTAACCTTCTAAATGCTGATATTGGTTTAATTGATGAGGGGGATTTTTACATCAAGTTTCATTTGTGCAACAAAGCTGATAATTTTAATGGGCTTTAATTTTATTTTATGGTCTGGCTCAAAATGAGTTTAAGGACCAATTTCTTGCTGAATTAGTTAATCTGTGTAGTCATGAAACATTACCAATTCTTATTGGTGGTGACTTTAATATTTTTCGTAGCCCTGATGAGAAAAACAATGCTAATTATGATGATAGATTGCCCTTTCTTTTTAATGCTGTTATTGACGGGTTGAGTCTTAGAGAGCTAGTTATGTTAGGTAGGAATTTTACTTGGGCAAATAATCTAGCAAATCCAATCTATGAGAAACTTGATAGAGTTTTAATGTCAACGGAGTGAAAACATAAATTTCCTTTATCCTCGGTTTTTGCTCTCAATAGAGATATTTCTGATCATACTCCTTTACTTTTAAATACAAATTCTTCGTCTCCGGGTAATGCTCAACATAGTTTTAAGTTTGAACCAGGTTGGCTATTACGGGATGGTTTTGTTGATATGGTAAAAGAGATTTGGTCTAATGTTGATGAAGGTAATACTCCCATGGAGCGTTGAGAGGCTAAAATTCATCGTTTAAGACAACATTTGAGGGGATGGGCTAAACATACAAGCGGCATCTATTAAAAAGAGAAAAAAGAGTTATTAGATAAGTTGGATTTGCTAGATAAAAAAACGGAAACCATTCTTTTGACTCAGGAGGAAATTGATATTAGAGTGTATTATACAAATAGATTATCTACGCTTCTGAGAGAAGAGGAAATTAGGTGGTATCAAAGGGCTAAGACTAAAGATATCTTGGAGGGAGATTCTAATACTAAGTACTTTCATTTGGTTGCAAATGGTAAGCATAGAAAAACAAGAATTTTTCAATTACAGGATGGTGATCAATTAATAAGGGGTGATGCGAATTTAAAATTGCATATTACCACTTATTATAAAGGTTTATTTGGTCCTCCAGATGATTTTGATCTTCAGGTTTATGAGAGTAAAATTGATGATATCCCTCAAGTATCTCAATTAGAGAATGAGGCTTTAACTCAAGAATTTACCGAGAATGAGATTAAAGAGGCAATTTTCCAAATGGAACACAACAAGGCTCCGGGTCCTGATGGATTTCCAGCTGAGTTTTACCAAGTGTTTTGGAATGTTATTAAAGCCGACTTGTTAGATCTTTTTAAAGATTGTCATAATGGTACTTTGCCTTTATTCTCTCTTAACTTTGGTACTATTATTCTTTTTCCTAAGTGTGTGGAGGCCATGAAAATTCAACAGTATAGGCCTATATGCTTACTTAACATTAGTTTTAAAATTTTTACCAAGGTTGCTACAAATAGAATAATTGGCGTTACTCAAAAAGTAATTAGTCCTACTCAAACTGCTTTTATTCCTGGGAGAAATATTATGGAAGAGGTTGTTATTCTTCATGAAACTATTCATGAAATGTGTCGTAAAAATAAAAGCGGGGTAATATTTAAGATTGATTTTGAGAAAGCCTATGATAAGGTTAAATGGTCTTTTGTTCAACAAATGTTGAGAATGAAGGGCTTCTCTCCTAAATGGTGTCAATTGATAGCTTCTTTTGTTCAGGGTGGTCATGTTGGTATTAAAGTAAATGATCAAATTGGGAATAATTTTCAAACTTACAAAGGCCTCAGGCAAGGGGATCCTTTGTCTTCTATTATCTTTAACATAGTGGCTGATATGCTAGCTCTACTAATTAAGAGGGCTAAAGATGTTGGTACCATTAATGGGGTAATTCCACATTTGGTGGATGATGGTTTATCTATTTTGCAATATACTGATGATACTATCATTTTTTTGGAGCACGATTTACAACAAGCCAAGAATCTGAAATTGATTTTATCTGTGTTTGAAAAGTTTTCTAGCTTGAAAATAAATTTTCATAAAAGTGAATTATTTTGTTTTGGCTAAGCAAAGGACTTTTATGAACAATATTCTACTATCTTTGGTTGTAAATTAGGTACTTTTCCTGTCATATATCTTGGTATTCCAATGCATTTTAGAAAGCTTAGTAACAAAGATTGGAAAGTTATTGAACAAAGAATTGAGAAGAAACTTAGTAGTTGAAAGGGAAAACATATGTCTGTTGGGGGTAGACTGGTTTTGATTAATTATGTTCTTTCTAGTTTAGCTATGTTTATGATATCTTTTTTTGAGATTCCAAAATGGGTTCTTCAAAAAATTGATTATTATAGATCAAGATTCTTTTGGCAAGGGGATGATCATAAGAAAAAGTACAGACTTACAAGATGGGATATTATTTGTCAACCCAAAGATCAAGGTGGTTTAGGTGTCCATAATTTAGAAATACAAAATAAATGCCTTTTTAGTAAATGGTTGTTTAAATTAATAAATGAGCGAGGGCTTTGGCAAGACTTATTGAAAAGAAAGTATCTTTATAATCAGTATATTACCCAAGTTGATAGGAAACAAGGTGATTCTCATTTTTGGTCAGGTCTTATGAAAGTTAAGAATACTTTTTTAAACATGGGTTCCTGGATTCTGAATAATGGGGAATAAGTCAGATTCTGGGAAGATAAATGGCTAGGTAACTTGGCGTTTAAAGATAGGTATCCATCTCTCTATGCTATTGTTCGAAGGAAAAGTTCTTCAGTTGCTAATGTTATGAGATCTGTTCCGCTAAATGTTTCTTTTAGAAGGGCTTTAGTTGGTCAGAATCTAGCAAAGTGGCATGAATTGTGTGCTTCTATTGTACATATTCAGTTGAATCAATAAAGTGATTGTTTTAGATGGAACTATCATCTGAATGGCCAATTTTTTGTCCGGTCAATGTATCTGGCTTTAATAAACAATGTTATATTAAGAGAAATAAGATTCTTTGGAAGCTTAACATGCTTGCCTCTGAAGATTAAGATCTTTATGTGGTACTTGCTTAAAGGGGTAGTGTTAACTAAAGATAATTTGGCAAGGAGAAACTGGAATGGGAGTTTGAGATTTTGTTTCTATGTGAAGAATGGAACTATTCAGCATCTTTTTATGGAATGCCATTTTGCAAAGTTTATTTGGAGAGCTGTACAGTTCTCTTTTAGTCTTTACCCTCCTAATAGCATATCTCATATTTTTGATGATTGGCTTCTGGGGGTGGACAAGTAAAATAGGAAACTTATTCTCATAGGAGCTTCTGCTATATGTTGGGCTCTATGATTGAGTAGGAATGATATGATTTTTGACAAATCACCATCTGTTTCATATATGCAGGTAATTTTCAGGGCAACGCACTGGCTTAGGTCTTGGGCACTGCTACAAAAGTGTAATGAAGAGGGCGAGCGTTTAAAAGTTGCATGTCGTAATTTTGAGGCAATGGTTATGCAACTGTTTACCAATTTTGGATGGAGATTCACAAACAGAATTCAATAATTGCGTACTCCTTATCTTGGTTGGTAGGTGTCTTCTTTTTTATGTGAGAAACTTTTTATTTTATGTGCTACCTGTAATAATTGATTGTAGCTCGTTGAGCAAAGACTGGGATATTCTATTCCACTATCTAAAAAAGCTACACACTACAGAAAACTGAACTGGGCCTGACGGCCGATAATTTTACTGATGTACGTGTACAAAGGCTACTATCGTGGAAATTCTAATATTCCATACGAGCCTATACCAACATCAAAGAAATATAATTTTCTTAACGTGGATACACAACTTGACAACTTGTCACAATAATTTGATTATTCTGATGTGAACGAGGCAATCAGTGAAAATAATGGGTTCGCGCGCGGTGGGAGTTGGGCGGGTAGCTATTTTCACTTTGGCACCAGATGGTTGGACATATATCGCCAAAAATTTGGGTACTTTGTTGGCACAAGTAATTTCACCAACATGAATGACCATTGGCAAATTTTCATGTGGATAAAAAAAAAAAGGGAAAAGAACCACTTCACAGTCACCACTCTCCATAATACTATAACCCTTTCTTCACTCCCATCCCAAGTCTTTTCCTCTTCTCATCCCCTCTAGCTTCTTCCTCCTCCCCACTCTAAATCATTCAAATCCACCTATATGTAGGTTTCTCCTCTCGAATCCCCTTCATCTTGTATCTCTCCATTGACTAGGGTTTGCTCCAATGTTCATGTGTCGATCTGTAGCTGCAGCCCCTATGGATTTGCTCCACATCCAGATCTGAAGCTGCAGTCCATCCTTTCCTCATCTCCAACCAGATCAGGAACTCTAGTCCCGAGACTCCGTCGACTCCTCTGGCTCCGGATGCCATCTGTACTAAAATGATCTCTGTATCGGCACGGATTGTTGCTTATTTTTAAATATTATGACAAATTTACAGCTTAATATTAAAAAAGAAAACCGGCTAATCTTCTACCCTATACAAGTTGTTTTATTTATTCATCGTGTGACACATCCAACGATCGAAAATCATCCAATACATCATATCCGACGACAGCGAACGCACGCACGCGGGATCACCCAGTACGAGATCGCGCACGTGGGGCCACCGGCCGAAAATCACGCAAGCCAGTAAAACCAGTCGCCGCCCCTTTTCCTTCGCACGCCCAGATCGGTGCTCGCCATGGCCATCCCAGGTCGCTCCCATCTACCTCCCGTCTCTCGCACCCTCTCCCACCTTTGCCGCTGCCAATGCTGCCGCGCGAGGGTGAGGCCGAGTTCGAGGTCACAATGTCCCCTAGCCCGAGGCCATATGCTCCCGTTTCCCCGGAAAAAAAAAAAAGCTCCCGTCTGCCGTTACTGCCGACGCAGCTGCGTGTACAGGAGAAGGAGGCCGCCACCACCTACTCCAGACTCGCGGTCGACCGCTACAGGACAGGAAACGACGGCAGTGACGGTGGAGCTCCCTATTGAACATGATGATTACGGATTAAAATTGAGGATGATTTAGTGCGGTATTGAATGGGATTTGTTGGGGGAATTGATGCCCACTACACAAGAAACCGGTTTTTGCGATGAATTGAACTTGAGGAGGTCGATCAAGGTGACCGGCGGCGCTAGGGTTCAATGGGAGAGAGAGGAACGGTCGGGCTGGAGGTAGGGGACGCCTCCGATAGGCGGACCCCACGGGGGGCGCACGCGTGCAGCGCACATGCAGCTCGGGCAGCCTGGTGGGCGCGATAGGCCGGCGCGAGGGGGCAGCCCAAAGAGCGGAGAGGAGGGTCGCTGATGGGCTCGTGGCTCGGTTGGGCCAGGAAGGAGAGAAGGGCCGGAGCCAGAGCAGGACTTTATTTTAGTTTTTCTTTATTTTTGAAAACGTGAGAAATGATATTGTTACACTAAAATTATTTATAATGCTCTTAAAATTCTAAAAAATGGTTAAGTGTTTTTTAGCATGAGGAACTTAAAGAAAATTCTCACACATGAATTTGAGTTGAAACTTGATGACATTTAATTGTTGAAGGCTATTTTTGGCATTTTACAATTTATAGAAATAATTTAGACGATAAAATTTTAGAATGATTTTAGGGCGCAACATCATCTTGTGTGTTCTTTGCTGGTGTGTGCGTGATGAAGAAGAGAGCAAGACGTTTCTTCAACGTGATGAAGCGGGCCACGAGTTCAAGCTCACGACACCATTCTCGTAGCTCGAACGCATGCGTGTCCAACGAGTACTCTTCGAGTGACCGATGCCTAACTCGGAAGCCGCCTGGCACTAACGCGGGCACCGTCAACTCGCCAACGCAAGCACGAGCAACAGTGAGAATTTCGTCTTCTTCTTCTTGTTTTTTTTTTGCTATAGTCCTTTCCTTTATGCGTGAGAGGAATGGATTAAAGATTCAATCTTTAACTGGTCTTCTTCAATCAAAGCCATGATTTTTTGTGAGTTGGATTTGAAGGATATGGGTGCTGGTTTTTAATACGGGTACAGATAAAATCCGCAAGTGCACGGATATACCGAGGTAGCACTTCCCTTACGGAGTATTCCAAGGATATCGAATCCAAAGGAACATTGTGGTTAGATCTTCCTCCAGTTTATCCAAGGACACCAAGCAAATGATAGGCCAGGATAGAGAGGATTTACTAGTGAGAAACAGTGTCTAGGGAAAGCTTAACTTTAATCCTAACGCAATACTTCAGACACAGGCAACCCGTTGTTCCCAATGTCGCTCTACTACGTAGCCGGACAGGGAGGACTTAAGTGATCTCAAGAGCTGTCACCACCTCTACACCTACCTCAAACGTACTGTGGATACGCAGCAATTACTGGATAACAAATACCTAAACACCACGTCTAAGCAATTAATATCTACTTTAGTGTTTATAACTCACCAAAACAATAACTATATTTTAGTTGATTATAATGAACAATAATCCCGTATGCTATTTAGGAACTAACCAAGAGATAATTCTCACAAGATAAATCTAAATTACTCAAGAAGAATATTTGTCGTAGTCTTTCCGGACCTTCCATTATATTTGAGGGATGAAGTGAATAATTCAAGTCATCAAACAAATATAATGAAACATCCAATGCCTCGAGAGAAGAATATTGGAGACATTGCTAGGCCTTTAGCCTGCCAGTCAACTTCAGCCTAAGATGTGCCCGTCAAACCACTTGAAGGCGGCGGCCAGATGTGTTACACATTCAGGAGACTTTGACAAAAATGGCTAAAGATCTACAACATCTCAAATATTCTTAACTCATACTCATGTGAATCTAGTTCCCAGGATGTGCACTAGATTCACACTTTCATCTCGAGCATGATTATACATAGCAAACACAAATAAGATGAAAGCGATTATAAACTACATCTACTTTAGTTACATTGGCCAACCGGCCAAATAAATATATAGAACAACGGAAGCTTGTCTACCCAATCCACAAGCACACCGACTAGGGGTTTACCCCATTAAGTTCAAGTCCTAGAAGAAGCAGTCGATTACCCGCATCACTCAAAGACTAAGACTAAAACCTGCAAACAAAAGATTAATTCAATAGCAAGAGTCAGTACATTATTAGAAATAATGTACTGGCAAGCACCAAGACAAGCCTAACACCCTACTGGTAATATGGATAGTCTCTGTCCCTGTATTCACATTCCACCTTCAACAAAGTGTTGATTTCCCGTAAAGCTAACTGTAGTCCTTTAAGTAAGTAGATATCTTAGGCTTTTGCAAGGCATATAACCAAGGAAGGCATAATATGGTTCTTTTTAGCATAAAGCAAGTTTTATTTGCATAAAACATTTCTAAATCAGGTTTACTTTCAAATAAATTTCAGCAAACTAGTACTTGACATATTGGGCATCAAGGTAGGCATTAATCATGTATAAATATGCACCTCATTGCCTTCCATGGCAGCAAGGAGATCATTCTCAAATCTCATCACAATTTGAAGGTAAATTTCAGCATTTAGAAGAATAAACACAACTCTACACTCAATAGATATCCACACGCCGCTCATGACCGCGAGCACGGCTAATCGATTAGTTTTAACTCTGCAGAGTTTGTACACTTTACCCACATGATGTGAAATAATAATCATGCAAGAGCATGGCACGCGATACATAAGTTCCCGATTTATTACCCGCAACAAAGCTTTTCCAAAATTCATGATTTAGCCTTACACCAGCACGATACGTGTTACTCCATCCTAAGCCATACACGTTATATGACCTAGAACCGTTAAGTGGCGGGCCCACGCCTTAAACTTAACGCCGTGGTGGCGGACACAACGGGAACCCACCCACGTGGCACAATACCGTTGTATTGGACAGACTTAGTCACCTAAACTACCACGTCGGGGTAAATAGGAAGTTCCTCTGAGTTATCCGAACTCATACACACCGGCCTACCAGAATGTAAGGCTAAACCATAAATAATTTACTAAGCTTGGGCTATCCCATACTAGCACATGTGGTTGTACTGTATACGAAATGAACTGACATTGAGTGAAGTCCTTAGGTCGGTTTGGGCACACTCTCCCCCTATCGGTACACAACTAATCACCATATGTGCACCACTTGAGGCCTAAACCTAAAATCCATGTTTTCCACCATTTTATTTATCAAAATCACAAGTATTAAAGTTCTGCCCAGATTAATTATAAATCAATTTTCATGTTTGTAATGAGCCCATAATGACAAGGAAGACCATTCTAAGCATGGCTAAGCTTTATAGTAACCTAGTGTCACCAAAACTCATATAAAAAGTGGTATAGTCATATTGTTCCTAAGGTTAGGAATGATGGATATGGATATATGTGGGGTTAAGGTGATAATGCAAATAATAGGAATTTGTCTAACAAGTTTAACACCATTTTAATTTGTTAGTATACAATCGACATGCAGGATTTGCAAACATTTTCAATAACCTCCAAAACATAGGTTCAAAGTGATCAAAGAGAGGGAGGTGGGACTTGCCTTGAATCAGGAAAATGTCAGCACCTAAATCACTTCTTCACCGTTTAAGCAATCATCTATACAAAGTACACGTTATGCAATTAAACACCAAAATATGCGTAAAATCTAAAATGCTCTAAAATGGATGATTTGTGCACAGTGAATAGGTACTGGTCTAAAATGAATTTAGGTGGAAGAATTTCTATTTCATCTTTTTTTATTTGGGAGTTATGAATTTTACAAGTTTCATCGGTATAGTATAGGATTTATTTAGGTACTATTGTGAAATGCTGTTGTAAGGTGATTTTTATTAAGTTTATGTTTGCTGAGTGAACATATGTGTTTTCTAAGACTAACACATTTGGTTTCACAATTTTTGGAGTTAATATGAATTCTTTATGCATTTTACAAGTTATAACGTGTTACGGGTGTATAGTGTTATATAGGTTCATGGCTTTAGAGGTTTAGGTCCAGAACTTGCCTCATCTAGCTAGTGATGTATAAAATGAGTATTTTAGTTAACTAATCTAATCTTAGTTCATAATTTTAGAGTTTATATTATTTTACTACACATTTTATAATTAGGGATGTTCTATGTTAGTTACTTAACACACCAACCTAGAAATTGTTATATGAGTTAAGTTTGATAAGTTTTGGTGGAAGGGGATGGAACTATGCATTCACTGGTCTAACAAGTTTTATTTGGGTTTCATTATAGCTAGAGTGTATTTCTATATACATTTATATATATACATATTGCTCAATCAATACTATGTGATTAGTACCTATCCTATAAATTTAAAGTTTAGAGCTATAACCTGTACAGAAGGTTCCATATTTTATTTTAATATGTTGAAGCCCACTGTTTGCTGGTTCTATAGATATTTGGTTCACTTCATTTAGACTAAAGATGAATTTTCTACAAATTTTACAATTTAAGGTTGCTCTATGTTGGTTATTACTTACATAAGTATTTAGAGGCTTTTATCATACAGTAAGTATATAATTTTATTTTATAATTTGGAAGTATATGTTTTGGTGATTCTACAGAACTTGGGTTTACTCAAAAAGGATCTAAGATGAATTTTATATGAACTTCTAAAGTTCAGCTTATATAAAACTAGTTATTTTTAAAGATAATAGTTTTAGAGGCATTTGATGCAGAATGTGTAGATGTTTTATTTTACTTTGTTTTTAGAGAAAATGTTGGTGGATCTGTAGAAACTAAGTTTGCTCTGAAATGAGTTGAAATGAATTTTGTATGCATTTTATAATTTTGTGCATGCTTTATGTGTGATTTAATTTGGATAAATTTGAGAGGCTAAATTTGTACTGTGAGTGCAAGTTTTGTTCCATAACATCAAAGTTCCCAATTTGGTGAGTTCACAGAAATTTGAATCATCTTAAAATGAGCTATATTTAATTTTATATGGATTTTACAAGTTTTAGTTACTGTTCTTTTATAATTTCAGATTTTGTTCCTAGGTGTGCATTGTCAGTCCCAGGCCAATATGCAAAAAGACCCCTAGAGTTTCAGTAAATAAACCCGCAGTCCTAGGCCCATATGTCATTGAGTGAAAACATTACATAATGAACCTTATAGTTGTTTAAATTCTCCAAGCGAGGTCCCTGTCTCCTTTTCCATTCGATAAGCAGCAGAGCAGCCATGGGCGGCATCTCTGCTCGCCGGTGTCGGCGACAAACGGTGACTCCGTTGGGGTTGCGACCAAAATAGAAAATGAAGGGCATGATATTGCGATTCCATTCCTATACATTTCTCAGACAGCAGACATCGGAGTAGCGCCAGCGGCGAGTCCGAGCAGAGGAAGTTTTCGGGTGGTGGTGCATGTCGTGCTATAGACTGGATGTACTCAAAGGGATGCATGCATGTGGTCTTCCAGGCTCTAGGGTACTCACCGCGGGTTAGGTTGATGTTTTCCGGGGTCTTGGTGACAGCAACGGCTCGCGCATCCTCCCGGCGACGGCGTCCTTCTGCGGGTGAACGGCGACGGCTCGAACGGGACGACGAGCTGCTAAAGGAAGGCGTGCACGAGGGTTGTGAGGTCACAGGGATGGTTTGTGCGCGAGTAATCCAACAATGGCTCACCGGAGGAGGCGGAAACGACAATGGCGATGGCAACCGGAGGTGAAGAAGACGGTGGCCGATCTCCGCACTTGCTGCGCCGTTGCCTGGGATTATTGAGGGGTTTTGAGGAGGACTTCAAGGAGAAGGCGTTGGCGTGACGGCTCGGCTTGGATCGGTCTACAGCGGTCGGAACGGCGACGATGTCGGCTGCGGCGGCGCTTGGAGCGCGCTCCAGAGCTCCGTAGACGAGGTCGCGTTCCCGTCGCTGCAGTGGACGAAACAAGATGGAGTCAAAAAAGGATTTTCTCGGCATGGAGAGAAGATAATAGAACGTGAATCAGATAGGGATGGAGACGACTCGTTGGCGATCGGCGGCGTGCCCCTTTTCGGCGGCCGACGATGAAAGAGAGGTGGAGAGGGAAAGTTGGAGCTTCCTCCCTCGGATGGATCGGCACTGGGATGGTGGGTGAAGAGTGGCGACGCAGCTGGGTGAGGTGAAGCTTCGGTTCGGCGCTGCCACGTCGAGGCCACGCGTCGAACGCGCCCGAGGGCTGTCGGCTCGGTCTTTCTCTCAGTTCTGGTCGGCTAGAGAAGTTGCACAGGGGAAGGGTAAGCCAAGAAGGCTGCCAGGTGGGTCCAGGTCGGTGTAATCTAGGTGGGGGTGTGAGGGATGGGTAGATAATTGGGTGTAAGTGATTTTGGACAAATTTTCAGGATTAATTCACTTACCCTTCCTTTGTAACTCGATAGTTTATTTTGTGGCCAGGATAAATTAGTGTGAATTTTTGTGATGATAGTTGAAGATACCTAGATTCCATTTTCTTTGGTTGCACTTAAAAAATTTTGGATAGATTACTCACAGTAATTAGGAGAAAATGGGCCCTTTGGAAATTAGTTTGAATTTTTAGGAGACCTAAACAGAGAAGATAAATTCTGATAAAATTATATTTATTCATGATAAATGACCTAGTATTTGAATAAATTATTTCCCCTATACACTTTCATGCAGTTAAATGCACATTTTAGTTAGGTATGGTTTTAACCGATTAAGAACTATAATTAGTCTATTATTTGACTGGTTTGACTGATTTATTCGAGGTATGAAATTTAGTTATTAAATTATACCAAAATTACAGTGAGTTTTATATGTTAAGTAGAGCCTACATGAATTTTCCCACGATTTTATCTTACACGAATTATTTTAGATAATTCGCAAGACTTATGTCTTATATGTGTTTCCCTTTCCTAAATGCATGTAAATGTTTATAAAAGTTATATTTGGACTCTCATTAACCTGAGGTGATATTGATATGTTAGAATTACAGTTTACCTTACACATGTCATAAGCTCCTTACCTATTTATGCATAAGTTTACTTTAGTATTAAATGAAGAGAATGCTTATAGAGATGATTAAGATAGAATATACCCTATATGATATAATTTATTTGTTCACTTTCATGTTCATGACATGTCTTTAGATGGATGTTGAAATTAGTTTTGTGAGGCTTGACATTAGCCATGTTGATATATTTTAAGGTGTATGGTTTCTATTTTAACTTCCTCTAGCTAGCACTAGGCCCTAATGGTTTACTTGTTTATCTAGATCTTAGTTAAGATTCATGAGACCTATTATGAAATGCAAATCAAAGATTCAAATGCACATGAAGGACTCAAGTCAAAACATGTTTTATGCAAGTATGCATGCTTTTACTCGTGTTTGCATTTATGTCCTAGGTTATAAATGAAAAAGTTTTAATTTGTTCCCAAATTTTACTTAGGTTCAAGTTAGATTGACCACACCTAGGTTAAAAATGGAAATTTTTAGCTCTCAAAAATGGAAAAGTTAGCTTCCAACTATTTTGATAGGAAATTTTTAAGGTCTAGAATTTGGGTACGTTACAATATTATATTGAATTCAGAGTAATAAATAGAATAAAAGAAATAGGAGAAGATTACCGACAACTCCGAAATTCTTCCGACTACTTCTTCTCTACTCTCTTCCTATTCTAGTATACAATATAGTACAATAGAGCCTCTTATAATTCAGCTCAATCTTGGAAGTCTGTGTGAGAGTGAATGAAGCGAGGTCCTTTTATAGGGCAGTTATGACGGTTGTGAGAAGGGAAAATGTCCGAACTGCCCCGCAACCATCATTGGGAGAACTTCTGGAGCGTCCACGCCAAACCCAGGATCAACGGTGATCAGGGGGGGTTCGGCCGAACCAGAGGGTTCGACCGAACCTGGGCTGGGCCCTCCTGGCTTGGCCTTCGGTCGGTGGAGTCCATGGACCTTCCTCTATCCATTTCTCGGAATTTTGGGTTGATTTACTGATGTTTCGATGAAGTTCACAACCCCTCCTTGTATGGATACATAATTCTCCTCACTTTAGTCTGATTTTCCTCCCAACTTCAGGGTTTTCATCTGCATAAAAATATACACCAACACTTGTGGAATATTGTGGAATATGTGAGATTAAGCACCTATTACTATGTTGGATGTTTTATTATCTAGACTTTATGTAGATGTTGGCAGTATGGGATTGGCATTGAACAACCGCCAACAAAACCCCCCCACACTTAGCCCTTTGCTCGTCACTGAGTAAAGGTTAGTGTAAAATGAATTTCTTCAAGATATGTATCAAGCATATAAATTATTTTACAACCATACCTGCACCTGTGAACTTTATCAGTGGCTAACTTACCATCTTGAGTAATTGAGAAATAGAACGATCTTGATTCCAGTCCTTGCTTCCCTGTTACACTCATGGGATTTTTATAAATTTTCGCAAATCAGCTCTTCTCCTCCTATTGACTTCCTCTCTTGTCCCTCAAGGATGTATATTTTCTTTTTGGATCCTTACCAAGGCAAAATGTGCCATAATTCATCCCTATTAGAAGGCTGATATGTGGAGCTTGGTAGGGATAAACTGTGACATACCTGCATCATATATAGTGCAAAGCCAAAAATATTGACTCAAGAAGATAATCAATCATACTCCTAGAACAAGGGTCTTTATTTATGGCGGAAAATGAAAAAGTAAAATATTTTGTGGAATGATGGAATAAAGAAATGATTCTCCCTTTTTCCTATACTTTCGCTCTAATTGGTTCTCTTGGCATGATTATGGAAGGGGCATGGCTATATTTTCTTTGCTCAATATTTTGAGAGCAAGCTTTATTTCCATCTTCTTTCTTTTCTTTCTTTTTTTTTCTAGCCATGCCTTTCCTTCCTTTTCTCATTTTCTTTTTGCCAAGAACTTTTCTAGGAGAAGAAAGCATAGTTCAATGTAGGAGTTTATTTGAATGGATATTTTTGTGGAAAGCCAACTTCTAGTGTAGAAGCTTAGCTTAATTTTATATGTGGAAATGGAAAGTGGTAATGATAATGACCCCTTGATCATGAGAGTATGAAAGATATCTAACACAAGTCACATAAATTTGACAAAGCTTAATATAATGTCAAACAGTCATATGCATGATAAGGTTTGATCATTAATGTACTTGCACATGGCCTTGGTAGGTATAAGGTAGAGTCAATTGGAGGTGAGCTTTTAAAACAATTTTATTTTGAAAACAAATTCCCAAGAGTCATAAGAATAGTTGCAAGAATTCCTTTCATCTTAATCATCTCACAAAAAGCAATCACTTAGATATATAAAGTTCCCTAAACATGGATGATTGTTCACAAGCACAAGTTCAGCTGGGAATAATGAATATACTAGATCAATCACATGAAGAATTTCATTAATTGGAAATTTTATCTCTTACTTATGCTTGAACCAATTGTTTTCTAAATTTTCAGCTCTAGTACTATACTATAGTGGAGATATACAGATACAAGACGTGCTCACCTGCTTACCTGTGAAAGTTGAGAGGGATTGGGGCCAGACTTGGTTCGGCCGAACCTGGTGGTTCGGCCGAACCACTCTAGCGCCTGATCTCTCTGCAACTTTCTGCAGAGTTCAGTGCTTAACAAAAACAAACTTTGGCAAACATTGGGGTTAACACCAATGAGCCACATTATTCATAGCAAGTACTTACATGATTGGAAAGATAGAACCAAGCACCTACTACTATTTTATTCATGGGAAAGGAAACATCTAATTAGCATAATACTTATTTTCCTTCCCTATCTCTATGAATGCACGCTTGATTTTAGCGCACAAACCGCGACTAAGGGTATCGAAATTATTTCTAATGTCAGCAAGCTCTACCCCTAGCTCCGCGTTGCGATCCTTAAGCTCTATGTTCTCCTTGCGGAGTTTCTTCACTTGTGCGGCGAGCTTATGGATCGAGGGCTCCGGCGATTTCACCTCCTCTTCTTGGAATTGGCTGGGAGCCCTCACAATTGGAGGGGGCTTCAAATGACGCTTCACCTTCATAGGTGGAGGGCTACGGGATTCTGCTGCCCCCTCCTTTTCCGATGCCATCAAAGGCCGTAGTAAACTCTTACCATACCCACTGCCGGGAGTTCTCACTCCTTGGATGCGGAATCGCTCCTCCTTCGGAGTAGACGGAGTAGCGGTGGGTGTGGTATACTTGTGGAGCATCTCATCTCCTTCCTTGGTGAACAGGGTGCCCACATAGCGCTCGGCGAGAGGTGGCGCGGCCTTCCCGTCATCTTGGAAAAGCCGTCGTGCCTTCAACAAGCCGAGTTCTCCCGTTGTCGGCGTCGCGTAAGGTGAATCCCCCCAGATTTTGTCCTTGTGACATGGCGAGGGGGAGAGGGACACGCTGCCGAACGGGGCTGAGAAGGGTTCGGCCGAACCAGGGAGCTCGTCGATCGGCTCCAAAATTGCAGGGGAGCTTGCACAACTTCAAGGGGTTGAGCCCATACAAGGGTTACCCCTTCCATCGTGTATTCTTCCACCGGGATCAATTGATTTGCCGGTGTCGCCTCTCCGGTGAGGTCGTACGTGGAATTGGATGAAGAGCCGATGAATGTAATCAAGGATTTGCCAGCCATTGGTGGGTATGAGTGGGAATTCGAGGAATTGGGTTGGATTGGAGAGGAGAGTATGCAAAGGTGGAGAGAAAGAGGAAGAAGAAGTGTTCTAGCGAGATCCGAGCGTTCTACCTCCAAATGCGCATCTAAACAAACTAGGAACGAGCGGGGGAGAGCGAAGTTCAAAAATGGGGCTGATCGGGCGCCTCCCTGGCTCGGCCGAACCAGCACCTTGGTGGGTCCGATTGAGCTCCATTTTTTTCCTAGGCCTAATAAGTCCTAAACTAAGCACAAAAATGACAACTTACCGGGTTTTAAGCATGCAATAGATGAGATCATCATGGTTCATAATCAACTAATTTAACAACATCCACTTCTTCATCTAAAGTTTCATTTGGCTCAAGGAAAGTCTTTAAGCGTTGACCGTTTACCTTAAATATGTTACCGAAGTCATCGCGGAGTGTGATTGCCCCGTGCGAAGAGGTGTCGATGACGTCGAATGGTCCTTCCCATTTGCTGCGCAGTTTTCCGTGGCCGAAGAGTTTAACCCTGGAGTTGAACATCAGTACTTTGTCTCCTGGCTTGAATTTCTTGATTTTTATCCTTTTGTTATGTAACGTCCCGCCTTCCCCCAAGCCGGGCCCACTTACATCTGATAGCTTTCATAGGTCATAGACTGCCCTCACAGACCAACACATGTCTTTTCTGCACATTTTGTCCTCACTCGTGTGCACCCGGGAAATTCTTCCCGGTCGGTCACCCATCCCAAATTGCTCCAGGCCAAGCACACTTAACCCTGGAGTTCTTTGGAGATTGGCTTCCGGAAAAGAAGTTGCAACTTGTTGATATGAGTATTCTATTAATCCTATTAAGCCCTAGGCCGGGATGTTACACCCTCACCCCCTTAAGAGAGATCGACGCCCCCGTCGATCAACCCTAGGCCAGGAACGTCCTCTCTTGGCCACGCCCATGTGTCCAATGACAGCGCATGTGCCATGCTGTGTAACCACTCCAGGTCTACACCAGCCATGCGCACCATGCCTGCGCAACTGCGATACACGCGCCCGTGAAACCGCGAGAGTCGGCTCTGATACCATTTTGTCACGTCCCGCCTTCCCCCAAGCCGGGCCCACTTACATCTGATAGCTTTCATAGGTCATAGACTGCCCTCACAGACCAACACATGTCTTTTCTGCACATTTTGTCCTCACTCGTGTGCACCCGGGAAATTCTTCCCGGTCGGTCACCCATCCCAAATTGCTCCAGGCCAAGCAAACTTAACCCTCGAGTTCTTTGTGCATTTGGAGTTTTGGACTTGTATTCCATAATAGCTCCCATGAGCATAATCTAAAAGAATTATTTCACTAAACAAACCTATAGTTAATCTTGAGTGATAACATGTGGACTTAATATTAAACTCAAATATCATCTTCTCAGTCTAAAAGAAGTTTAATGTAATCCCTATAATAATATTAGATGCAATTATGAAGTGGGAACACATATACAAACAAAGGTCATCTTAATTCTCTAAAATATTTTGTGCAAGATAAAATCATGGAAAAATTTATGTGGACAATGATTAGCACAAACTTATCCTCCGTAATTTGGTAACGTGTTAACACTCAAGTTGATATCTCAAATTAATCGGTCGAAACAGACAACTAAAAGAAATCAAATTAAATTTTAATCGGCTAAAACCATATTTCATCCAAAAGTACATTTAACTGCACATAAGTGAACATGGAAAATAATTTATTCAAATACTAGATTAGTTATCATGAATAAATGTAATTTTTCTAGAATTTTCCTTCTCTGTTTAAGCCTCCTAAAAATTCAATCTAGCTTTCTAATAGCCCATCTTTGTTTAATTTCTGTGAGCAGTCCACCCATTATTTTTGAGTGCAACCAAAGAAAATGGAATCTAGGTGTAATCATTTACCTCCAGTAAAATCAACACTAATTAATTTGGTCCACACATTGAATTATGTAGTTTCAAAGTTAGAGGAGAAAATAATTCCGAAAATTAATCTAAAAATCAAGTTTACCCAGAATCTTACCCAACCCTCTCACCCTAGCCTAGTTTGCCACGACCTGGACCCACCTGACAGCCTCTTAAGCTTGCCTTGACTCTGTCCATCACTTCCTCCACTGTTCCAGCCGAGAGAGGGAGAGATTGAGCGAGCCGACGCGTGGCCGCAACGTGTCGTCGATCTCGGTTTCCCTTTTCTCGCTCTCTACTCCTCCCAGACGCGTCGCCATTCTCCACACATCACTTTGGAGCTGAAGAAGCCGAGGGAGAGGTTCTCTGCCTCTCCGTCATCCTCAACCTCGCCGCCGGTCGTAGTGACGACGACCTTCGCCATCTCCGTTTGAGTCAAGGTCACCTCCATCTCTTTCGCGTTCCCATCTCTCCACACAATGCCGAGCATTTCCTCTTTTGACCTAAACCCCTCTCGTGCAGTGCATCGCCGGGAACGCAAGCCACGTCGACAACGCCCTGGAGCACGCACCGGAGCGCCGCCGCTTCAACCATCATCGTCGTCCGGCCATTCTCATTCACCTCAGAGAAAGCTGCTGCGCCATTGTCATTGCCTCAACCTCCTCTTCAAAACGCCTCAAGAACCCCAGCCGGAAACATCAAGAACACGGAGAACACATCCTTTTCTTCACCGGCGCCAATCTAGGATCGCCTCCGCCGTCATCGTCGATTACCGCTGCCTCGGTGAGCCATTGTTCGATTCCTTGCGCATACACCATCTCCTTGACCTCACAACCCTCGTGCATGCTTGCTTGAAGCAGCTCATTGTCCCGTTCGAGCCGTCGTCGTTCACCCGAGGAGGAGCGCCGTCGCCGAGCCGTTCCACAAGTCACCGCTGCCGCCAAGACCTCGACAACCCTAGCTCGACCCACGGTGAGCATCCTGAAGTCTAGAAGACCACATGCATGCATCCTTTTCGTTCGTAATCGACTTCCATGCGCACATGCACTTTCACCCCAAAACCACCGCCGCTCACACTCGCCATCGGCGCTACTCCGATGTCCTCTAACCAAGAAAACTAGAGGAATGGAATCGCGAGAGCTTGCTCTTCATTTTATCTTTTGACCTCAACCTCAAGCGAGCCACCGTTTGCCGCCGGCGAGCTCCAGATCGAGCTCAGCCATGGCTAGCTCTGCTATGTCTAGAGCAGAGGGATGACTTCCGTGAATTAGATTAAGTGCAGGGATCCGTTTACAATTATAGAAACACACTGACATATGGGCCTAGGACTGCGGGTTGATTCCTAGAAAACTCAAGGGCCTTTGTGCATATTGGTCCCTCACAGCCATGTGGACCCATCCTTTAAAATCTGAAGAAAAATTAGGAAAATGCCCAAACAATTATATGTTTAGCAGAAAAATGCACAAGTTGTAAAATCTATATAAAATCAAATATAGCTCATTTTGAAGTGATTCCAGTTTCTGTAGATTCTTGAAGTTATGAACTTTATTCCAGGAATATAAAACTTGACACTCACTGTACAAATAATGTCTCTAAGATTTATCTAAGATAAGTCATGCATAAAACATGTACAAACTTATAAAATACAAAGAAAATTCATTTCAACTCATTTTGAAACAAACTCAAAAACTTCAGATTCATCATCAGACACTCTCTGATTAGGTAAAATAAAAGTAATGACTTACTTTGCATCAAAAGCCTCTAAAACTATTATCTTTAAAATGACTAGTTTTAGATAAGCTAAACTTTAGAAATTCATGTAGAACCCAATTTAGCTTCAATTTGAATAAACTTAAGTTATGTAGGATCACTAACACATGTATTTCCAAGTTATGAAATAATATTATATACTTGCTGTGTAGTAAAAGTCTCTAAATATTCATATAAGGATTTACTAACATAGAGCAGCCATTAATTTGTAAAACTTGTAGAAAATTCATTTTTAGTCCAAATGAAATGAACAAAGTTTCTATAGAACCAGCAAATAGTTATCTTCAACATAGTAAAATAAAATTTGGCACCTTCTGTAGAGAACATTGATCAAAACCTTAACTTAGTGAAATAAGAATTTAAACACATAGTGTTGTTTAAGTAATACATAAACATGTATAAGTATATATATACACTTTAGGTCTAATTAAACCTAAATAAAAACTTGATTGACCAGTGAAGCCATAGTTCCATCCTCATCCACTAAACTTAGAAGAACTTGGCTCATATAACAATTTCTAGGTTAATATAATATATTGCTAGTTTAGATTAAAGCGTCTCTACTTTATAAAATATGAACCATAGTAGTAAAGACCATAAACATGTGAGATAAAAATGTTTTAGTTAACCAAATTATTCCTTTTATTCAACTTAAACATGAAGTAGCATGTTCTGAACCTATAACTCAGGAGTCATACATATATAAAACACTATATGCCTAAAACACGTTGTAACTTGTAAAATGCATAAAGAATTCATTATAAATCCAAAAATTGTGAAACCAAATGTGTTAGTCTTAGAAAACACATCTCCACACCCCTGTGAAGTCTAATCTAGTAAAAATCACTTTACAAAAGTATTCCATAACACTACCTAAGACTATACTACTATAAACCGATAAAACTTCTAAAAATTCATAACTCCCTAATGGAATAAGATAAAGATAAAATAAAAATTCTTTCACCTAAATTTATTTTAGATCAGTACCAACCCACTGTGCATAAATCATGCATTTTAGAGCATTTTGGATTTTCAACTCTTTCGGTGTTTAATTGCATATCGTGTCCTTTATCTAGATAATTGCGTAATCGGTGAAGAAGTGGATTAGGTGCTAACAATTCTCTGATCAAGGAAAGTTTTCTCCTCCCATCCTTTGAACACATTGAATCCCATGATTTGAGGAATGAAAATATTTGTTTACAAAGTTGCATGTGAACTTAGACTATATCGGTATTTGAAATTGGGTTAAGGTAGTTATGACCTATTTGCTACATATTCCACCTTGAATAATTGATCCTCTTGCTGTTTGAACCCCTAGAAATGGTTAGAGTACACTCTTTGTGCTCAAATGGGTTTATATATGCTCTATGTGCAACTACTTGCTTAGCCATGCTTAGAAATATGCAAATGCTCATTCCATCTATAATTAAAATGTGGTTTGATACTTGAACCTTTGCTGGAATAAAATGAATATGATGAGTATTTGCGAACTAAAATGTGTAAAATGTGATTTTACACTTGGGCAGCAAGTGGTGTGCATATAGTGTTAGTTGCATACCGATAGGGGGAGTGTTTGCCCAAGTCCATAAGGACCGAACTTGTGTCACCCATTTAAAGTTATTCGTACATCCACATGTGCTAGTATGGGATGGCCTAAGCTGATTAATCTATTTAGGACTAGCCTTGCATTCTGGTAGGCCGGTGTGTATGAGTTAGTCGATAATTCTGAGGAATTAGTCGATGATTCAGAGGAACTTCCTATTTGCCCCGACGTGGTAGTTTAGGTGACTAAGTCTGTCCAATACAACGGTATTGTGCCACGTGGGTGGGTTCCCGTTGTGTCCGCCACCACGGCGTTAAGTTTAAGGCGTGGGCCCGCCACTTAACGGTTCTAGACATATTTCCAAGTATGCCTAGGATGGAGGAACACGTATCGTGCTGGTGCAAGGCTAGATTCTAAGTAGTGTAAAGGCTTCGTTATGACCTCTAGATCACATTCAACATGAAGAGTGTGATGGAGTCTTGCAAACTCAAAACAAACTAGAGAGTTCATATCATGTGGGTAAAGCTGTACAAACTCTGCAGAGTTCTTTAAACTAATTGATTAGCCGTGCTCACGGTCATGAGTGCTTTGGTGATGTGTCATGAGTATAGACTATGTTTTAAAAATGTAATCATGTGACATTGGTTTGAAATTGATAAATGTGTTGAGTTGTGTATGTGGTGATACATTATGACTTATTATTAAGTATGGCAATAAGAGATTGTTTATGACGGAATTATGAAGAAGCTAATAATGAAACTTAAAACTTGTCTTTGTTAATTGAAGCATCAACTCCTTTACAAAAGAATTGCGAAACAAAACTTGCTTTATGCTGAAAATGAACTACATATTGCCTTCCTTTGAATATATGCCTTACATGTAGTATGGTAGGATTGACTTGTGCTTGCCAGTACATTAACTTGTTTAATGTACTGACTCTTGCTGTTGATATAACCTTTTGTTTGCAGGTTTAGTCTTAGTCTTTGAGTGATGCGGGTTCCGATTGCTTCTTCTAGGATGAGAACTTAATGGGGTATACCCCTAGTCGGTGTGCTTGTGTTTGGGTAGTCAAGCTTCCGCTGTTCTCTAATAAGTCTATTTGGCCGGTTGGCCTATGTAATTATTAAGTTGTTGTAAGTCTTAAGTTTCTTTCATCTTAGTTGTGTTTGCTATGTATAATCATGCTTAAGATGAAAGTGTGAATCTAGTGCACATCCTGGGAACTAGATTCACATGAGTATGAGTTAGGAATATTTGGGAGGTTGCAGATCTTTAGCCATTTTTGTCAAGTCTCCTGAATGTGTAACACATCTGGTCGCCGCCTTCGAGTGGTTTGACGGGCACATCTCAGGCTGAAGTTGACTGGCAGGCTAAGGGCCCAGCAATGTCTCCAATATTCCTCTCTCGAGGCGTCGGATGTTTCATTATGCTTGTTTGATGACTTGAATTATTCACTTCATCTCTCAAATATAATGGAAGGTCTGGAGAGCCTATGACAGCATGGTATCAGAGCAAATACCGACTACAGGAGCCCCTTAAGTTGTCACTTAGAATTGCTTCTTAAAAATTATTTTGAGTGCTATGCTCTCAGTTACAAATTATTTGCAAAAATCATGTTCAATCTTATATCTCATCCTTCTTTAGAGATTATTTTACTTTATGTCTCATGTTTTGATTTTAAAACTCTTATCTTGCTCTATAGGACCGAAACATTTTGGAAATACTATTTTTGTTGAATTTTATTTGAAATCACTTAATAATCACAGCAAAACAGTAACATAGTGTTTTGAAAAGTTTTGAAATCCATTTGCAAACTACTCCTATGTATTAGCACGGATTTCTAAAATATCGGGTTAAACATAGCCCCTAGTAAATGGGTTTTGAAAATGAGTCGATAAAACTTAAAACTTGCTAGACAATATTGGAATTCCATCTCCCTATGTTATCTCTGAACCAAAAATGAATTTGGTGGGATTTTGTACTTTCCTCTCCCGATATTTCAAAATTTCACCGGTATGGCCTAAAATGTGTAGTTGGGTATAGAATAGAATTTGCTGTGCTTAACCCTCTAGATTGTTTGCTTAGATGGACCACCCAAAATTCATCTAGCCTCTGGACCACCCTAACATAATACGACTAAAAGGTGATAAAATTTATACAACCTAAAACTTGATTAAAGTTTCATTTTGTGCCGGTTGTTCTTTTTTTTTTCTGGAATCTTGAGTCAGTCTGCTTGTTATTTTTGTCTAGACTAAACCGTAGGTGATAAACCTGAGAATTTTTTACATGCATCATGTAGACTAACCCAGTAAGCATCATGAATTTTGGCATAATTTTTAGACCCGTGCATCATAGTGAAACAATCTAGATAGTTAGCATAATCATATTGTGGAAATTTGTAGTAGCTGCATTCATTTTTTTTCATGTAGCCCAAACCATAATTGATTAAATATGCATCTTTTTACAGTAGTTTTCATACATAACCTGTAGGCTCCACGAATTTTGGTTGAATTTTTGAGTCATTGCATCATGGCATAAAAATTCATATAATTCTGTATAGTTCTGTCCTGAAATCTGTAGGTTGTCAGTTTCACAAATTTGTGTAGCCTAAACTACAAATGATAAAGTCATGATTCCTTCAGGGTAGCTCCTAATCTAACCCATCTATCTCTCTGATTTTTGTCAAAATTTTTGTATCTTTAGAGCTAGACCTAAAAATTTGATTAAGACAGTAAAGTGATGAATTCCAGCACCTAGCACTCATGTCAGATTAGCTCCTACCTTCTGAAATTTGTTAAAAAAAAAAAAACCTAGTGCAAAAAAAAATTATTTTATTTTAAGGGGGATAGTAAGCCATATTTGTATCAAAACCAAAGATAAAATTTTTAACCTTGCATAATTCTTCTTAGACCTAAAATAGAAATCCCATTCTAGTAAGCCCTGTACCGTTAATATGACCAGAATTAATGATTAGAGGTCTATATAACCATAGGTTGTTAAAAAAATGTGTGTCGACCTTAATAATAACAGTAAGGAAAACCTTTAATTTGTAAGTGTTAATTTTAGAGGTTTTTGGCTAATCCGTGTTCTAAATTTTATTCTTATAGATGCCTACCATGTACACACCGTACTGCTATTGCCGTGGGTTCACCTGGAACTCAACTCAGCATGTGCTATGGCTTATGCTTCAGTACGCCCGATTCACCTATCCACCTGAGTATCATATCCTCAAGAAACCCATTGGAACATCCCAAACCGCAGTCATGGTTCGTGTAAGCATTCGGGGTAGAACTCCACTAGAGAAAGACCTTCAATATACTGGTTATGGGTGGGATATTAAGTCCGCTTTGCAAAACTGTGCTTATGTTGCTATCATCCGCCTTCGCTATGAGCTACCTGAGATAGAAGAATTTTACTGCTACGTTCCATCCTTAACTGAGGGAGCTCAACACACTACCTACCCAGGGTTAGCTGAAATAGGTGTAGGACTACATACCCCATACCTCCAACTTGCAAACTTTGTGCGCTCACTAGATATGCTTTATCGCTCAACCTTTGCTGAGCTGCAACGCGTCCGCACCAGGGTAGCCAGTTTAGAAAGAATCATTATGCCAAGGTATCGCCAGGGACATTATACACCGGAGTTCATGTTTGGTGAGGATGCCATGCTTGCACCAGCAGAAGATATACCACCACCTGTTGGAATGTATATTGAAAGAAGCCCACCTTCGCGCGTCGATGTTAGGACTGCTTATCCTCCACTTGGAACCACTGGACCGTATGGACCGCCAGAGTATGTTCAATGGTATGGTCGAGTCTTCAAGCTGAGGATGAGAGATTAATCAATAGTCCTATCTAACCTCTACTGCCACGGTAGTATGACTTAAGGACAAGCTTAAGGAATAGTCTAGGTATGTGGTGGCCCATTTTGGAAGAAAATCGTGGTATGTAATATATGTAATATGGCTGCCATGTACTCCATTTATGTAAGAACTTGTTGGATGGATGTAATAGTAACTAAGAACTCGTTTGTCCTTAATTTAGAAACCTCTGTGCTTGCTGTCCAGAACTTTGGAAAATCTGTAAACATAAGTTCATCTAAGTTAGAAATCTGGTTATAAGCTCCTGTTAATATGAACCAACATTTATCTTGTTGGAACTAACTTCTCTAGTGTCAATTTAACTAACTATCTAAGCTTCCATAAACCCACAACTGAGTAGAACTTGCCACTCACCCGCGAAATAAAAGTTTCCAAATGTTTTATGGTAGCAAGTCTGTCATACAACTTAAAAGAAATTATTATCTGCTGTCAATGTCAATCCTCTGGAGATAGTCATAACTTAAGCCAACCCTACCCAAATCTCGGGGACGAGATTTATTTTAAGGGGGATAGACTGTAACATACCCGAAATTTTAGGACTTAAAATTTCTTGTCAAAATAGTTAGAGGTTAACTTCTCCAAATTTCGAGAGCCAAAAATTTCCGTTTTAATTTAGGTGATGATCAACTTAAACCATTGCATGATTAAAATTTGAGAACAAAATAAAATCTTTTCATTCCCAACATTAGACTAGAAATGTCACCAAGCATACATGTACATAATGCATGCCTAGGCTCGAGTTCTTTGTGCATTTGGAGTTTTGGACTTGTATTCCATAATAGCTCCCATGAGCATAATCTAAAAGAATTATTTCACTAAACAAACCTATAGTTAATCTTGAGTGATAACATGTGGACTTAATATTAAACTCAAATATCATCTTCTCAGTCTAAAAGAAGTTTAATGTAATCCCTATAATAATATTAGATGCAATTATGAAGTGGGAACACATATACAAACAAAGGTCATCTTAATTCTCTAAAATATTTTGTGCAAGATAAAATCATGGAAAAATTTATGTGGACAATGATTAGCACAAACTTATCCTCCGTAATTTGGTAACGTGTTAACACTCAAGTTGATATCTCAAATTAATCGGTCGAAGCAGACAACTAAAAGAAATCAAATTAAATTTTAATCGGCTAAAACCATATTTCATCCAAAAGTACATTTAACTGCACATAAGTGAACATGGAAAATAATTTATTCAAATACTAGATTAGTTATCATGAATAAATGTAATTTTTCTAGAATTTTTCTTCTCTGTTTAAGCCTCCTAAAAATTCAATCTAGCTTTCTAATAGCCCATCTTTGTTTAATTTCTGTGAGCAGTCCACCCATTATTTTTGAGTGCAACCAAAGAAAATGGAATCTAGGTGTAATCATTTACCTCCAGTAAAATCAACACTAATTAATTTGGTCCACACATTGAATTATGTAGTTTCAAAGTTAGAGGAGAAAATAATTCCGAAAATTAATCTAAAAATCAAGTTTACCCAGAATCTTACCCAACCCTCTCACCCTAGCCTAGTTTGCCACGACCTGGACCCACCTGACAGCCTCTTAAGCTTGCCTTGACTCTGTCCATCACTTCCTCCACTGTTCCAGCCGAGAGAGGGAGAGATTGAGCGAGCCGACGCGTGGCCGCAACGTGTCGTCGATCTCGGTTTCCCTTTTCTCGCTCTCTACTCCTCCCAGACGCGTCGCCATTCTCCACACATCACTTTGGAGCTGAAGAAGCCGAGGGAGAGGTTCTCTGCCTCTCCGTCATCCTCAACCTCGCCGCCGGTCGTAGTGACGACGACCTTCGCCATCTCCGTTTGAGTCAAGGTCACCTCCATCTCTTTCGCGTTCCCATCTCTCCACACAATGCCGAGCATTTCCTCTTTTGACCTAAACCCCTCTCGTGCAGTGCATCGCCGGGAACGCAAGCCACGTCGACAACGCCCTGGAGCACGCACCGGAGCGCCGCCGCTTCAACCATCATCGTCGTCCGGCCATTCTCATTCACCTCAGAGAAAGCTGCTGCGCCATTGTCATTGCCTCAACCTCCTCTTCAAAACGCCTCAAGAACCCCAGCCGGAAACATCAAGAACACGGAGAACACATCCTTTTCTTCACCGGCGCCAATCTAGGATCGCCTCCGCCGTCATCGTCGATTACCGCTGCCTCGGTGAGCCATTGTTCGATTCCTTGCGCATACACCATCTCCTTGACCTCACAACCCTCGTGCATGCTTGCTTGAAGCAGCTCATTGTCCCGTTCGAGCCGTCGTCGTTCACCCGAGGAGGAGCGCCGTCGCCGAGCCGTTCCACAAGTCACCGCTGCCGCCAAGACCTCGACAACCCTAGCTCGACCCACGGTGAGCATCCTGAAGTCTAGAAGACCACATGCATGCATCCTTTTCGTTCGTAATCGACTTCCATGCGCACATGCACTTTCACCCCAAAACCACCGCCGCTCACACTCGCCATCGGCGCTACTCCGATGTCCTCTAACCAAGAAAACTAGAGGAATGGAATCGCGAGAGCTTGCTCTTCATTTTATCTTTTGACCTCAACCTCAAGCGAGCCACCGTTTGCCGCCGGCGAGCTCCAGATCGAGCTCAGCCATGGCTAGCTCTGCTATGTCTAGAGCAGAGGGATGACTTCCGTGAATTAGATTAAGTGCAGGGATCCGTTTACAATTATAGAAACACACTGACATATGGGCCTAGGACTGCGGGTTGATTCCTAGAAAACTCAAGGGCCTTTGTGCATATTGGTCCCTCACAGCCATGTGGACCCATCCTTTAAAATCTGAAGAAAAATTAGGAAAATGCCCAAACAATTATATGTTTAGCAGAAAAATGCACAAGTTGTAAAATCTATATAAAATCAAATATAGCTCATTTTGAAGTGATTCCAGTTTCTGTAGATTCTTGAAGTTATGAACTTTATTCCAGGAATATAAAACTTGACACTCACTGTACAAATAATGTCTCTAAGATTTATCTAAGATAAGTCATGCATAAAACATGTACAAACTTATAAAATACAAAGAAAATTCATTTCAACTCATTTTGAAACAAACTCAAAAACTTCAGATTCATCATCAGACACTCTCTGATTAGGTAAAATAAAAGTAATGACTTACTTTGCATCAAAAGCCTCTAAAACTATTATCTTTAAAATGACTAGTTTTAGATAAGCTAAACTTTAGAAATTCATGTAGAACCCAATTTAGCTTCAATTTGAATAAACTTAAGTTATGTAGGATCACTAACACATGTATTTCCAAGTTATGAAATAATATTATATACTTGCTGTGTAGTAAAAGTCTCTAAATATTCATATAAGGATTTACTAACATAGAGCAGCCATTAATTTGTAAAACTTGTAGAAAATTCATTTTTAGTCCAAATGAAATGAACAAAGTTTCTATAGAACCAGCAAATAGTTATCTTCAACATAGTAAAATAAAATTTGGCACCTTCTGTAGAGAACATTGATCAAAACCTTAACTTAGTGAAATAAGAATTTAAACACATAGTGTTGTTTAAGTAATACATAAACATGTATAAGTATATATATACACTTTAGGTCTAATTAAACCTAAATAAAAACTTGATTGACCAGTGAAGCCATAGTTCCATCCTCATCCACTAAACTTAGAAGAACTTGGCTCATATAACAATTTCTAGGTTAATATAATATATTGCTAGTTTAGATTAAAGCGTCTCTACTTTATAAAATATGAACCATAGTAGTAAAGACCATAAACATGTGAGATAAAAATGTTTTAGTTAACCAAATTATTCCTTTTATTCAACTTAAACATGAAGTAGCATGTTCTGAACCTATAACTCAGGAGTCATACATATATAAAACACTATATGCCTAAAACACGTTGTAACTTGTAAAATGCATAAAGAATTCATTATAAATCCAAAAATTGTGAAACCAAATGTGTTAGTCTTAGAAAACACATCTCCACACCCCTGTGAAGTCTAATCTAGTAAAAATCACTTTACAAAAGTATTCCATAACACTACCTAAGACTATACTACTATAAACCGATAAAACTTCTAAAAATTCATAACTCCCTAATGGAATAAGATAAAGATAAAATAAAAATTCTTTCACCTAAATTTATTTTAGATCAGTACCAACCCACTGTGCATAAATCATGCATTTTAGAGCATTTTGGATTTTCAACTCTTTCGGTGTTTAATTGCATATCGTGTCCTTTATCTAGATAATTGCGTAATCGGTGAAGAAGTGGATTAGGTGCTAACAATTCTCTGATCAAGGAAAGTTTTCTCCTCCCATCCTTTGAACACATTGAATCCCATGATTTGAGGAATGAAAATATTTGTTTACAAAGTTGCATGTGAACTTAGACTATATCGGTATTTGAAATTGGGTTAAGGTAGTTATGACCTATTTGCTGCATATTCCACCTTGAATAATTGATCCTCTTGCTGTTTGAACCCCTAGAAATGGTTAGAGTACACTCTTTGTGCTCAAATGGGTTTATATATGCTCTATGTGCAACTACTTGCTTAGCCATGCTTAGAAATATGCAAATACTCATTCCATCTATAATTAAAATGTGGTTTGATACTTGAACCTTTGCTGGAATAAAATGAATATGATGAGTATTTGCGAACTAAAATGTGTAAAATGTGATTTTACACTTGGGCAGCAAGTGGTGTGCATATAGTGTTAGTTGCATACCGATAGGGGGAGTGTTTGCCCAAGTCCATAAGGACCGAACTTGTGTCACCCATTTAAAGTTATTCGTACATCCACATGTGCTAGTATGGGATGGCCTAAGCTGATTAATCTATTTAGGACTAGCCTTGCATTCTGGTAGGCCGGTGTGTATGAGTTAGTCGATAATTCTGAGGAATTAGTCGATGATTCAGAGGAACTTCCTATTTGCCCCGACGTGGTAGTTTAGGTGACTAAGTCTGTCCAATACAACGGTATTGTGCCACGTGGGTGGGTTCCCGTTGTGTCCGCCACCACGGCGTTAAGTTTAAGGCGTGGGCCCGCCACTTAACGGTTCTAGACATATTTCCAAGTATGCCTAGGATGGAGGAACACGTATCGTGCTGGTGCAAGGCTAGATTCTAAGTAGTGTAAAGGCTTCGTTATGACCTCTAGATCACATTCAACATGAAGAGTGTGATGGAGTCTTGCAAACTCAAAACAAACTAGAGAGTTCATATCATGTGGGTAAAGCTGTACAAACTCTGCAGAGTTCTTTAAACTAATTGATTAGCCGTGCTCACGGTCATGAGTGCTTTGGTGATGTGTCATGAGTATAGACTATGTTTTAAAAATGTGATCATGTGACATTGGTTTGAAATTGATAAATGTGTTGAGTTGTGTATGTGGTGATACATTATGACTTATTATTAAGTATGGCAATAAGAGATTGTTTATGACGGAATTATGAAGAAGCTAATAATGAAACTTAAAACTTGTCTTTGTTAATTGAAGCATCAACTCCTTTACAAAAGAATTGCGAAACAAAACTTGCTTTATGCTGAAAATGAACTACATATTGCCTTCCTTTGAATATATGCCTTACATGTAGTATGGTAGGATTGACTTGTGCTTGCCAGTACATTAACTTGTTTAATGTACTGACTCTTGCTGTTGATATAACCTTTTGTTTGCAGGTTTAGTCTTAGTCTTTGAGTGATGCGGGTTCCGATTGCTTCTTCTAGGATGAGAACTTAATGGGGTATACCCCTAGTCGGTGTGCTTGTGTTTGGGTAGTCAAGCTTCCGCTGTTCTCTAATAAGTCTATTTGGCCGGTTGGCCTATGTAATTATTAAGTTGTTGTAAGTCTTAAGTTTCTTTCATCTTAGTTGTGTTTGCTATGTATAATCATGCTTAAGATGAAAGTGTGAATCTAGTGCACATCCTGGGAACTAGATTCACATGAGTATGAGTTAGGAATATTTGGGAGGTTGCAGATCTTTAGCCATTTTTGTCAAGTCTCCTGAATGTGTAACACATCTGATCGCCGCCTTCGAGTGGTTTGACGGGCACATCTCAGGCTGAAGTTGACTGGCAGGCTAAGGGCCCAGCAATGTCTCCAATATTCCTCTCTCGAGGCGTCGGATGTTTCATTATGCTTGTTTGATGACTTGAATTATTCACTTCATCTCTCAAATATAATGGAAGGTCTGGAGAGCCTATGACATGTCATGCCAGCGCTTCGTCCTTTCTTTATATATCTTTGCGTTGTGGTAAGCCATTTCTCTCCATTCCTCAAGTTCTGCAATCTGCATTTTTCTCCATTCTCCTGCTCCCTCAAAATCCATGTTCGAATTCCTGATGGCCCAATATGCTCTATGCTCAAGTTCTACGGGTAGTCGACATGACTTCCCATAGACTATCTGATATGGGGACATTCCAATGGGTGTCTTGTATGCTGTCCGGTATGCCCACAGTGCGTCCTGCAATCTATCCTTCCATTCTGTTCCCATTTTGTTGACCGTCTTTTGCAGAATATTCTTGATTTGTTTGTTCGATGTTTCTGCTTGACCACTGGTCTGTGGATGGTAAGGAGTGGCCACGTTGTGTTTGGCTTCCATTTCTCGTAGGAGGTCTCTGAAGGTTTTGTCAATGAAGTGAAAACCTCGGTCGCTTATGACCATTCTGCGGGTACCAAATCTTGGGAAGATGGTTTCTGTGAACATCTTCTTGGCGTGCCTCGCATCCGCGGCGCTGCACGGCATAGCCTCAACCCACTTGGAGACATAGTCGACTGCCACCAGAATGTACTCGCAGTTACGAGACTTAGGGAAAGGTCCCATGAAGTCTATACCCCAAACATCGAATATCTCAACTTGCAAATTGTATGTAAGGGGCATTGCATCGCGAGCAGTGATTCCTCCTTGCCTCTGGCAGCTTGTGCATCTTCTGATGAATTCTTTTGAGTCTTCGTACATTGTCGGCCAGAAGAAACCACTTTGCCAGATTTTGGCCTGGGTGCGGAATGCACCGTAATGGCCTCCATAGGGTGAGGCGTGGCATCGTTCTATAATCTTAAGTCCTTCATCAGTTGGCACACATCTTCGTAGTAAGCCATCGGAGCATACCCGATATAGGTAGGGCTCATCCCATATATGACGGTGACTTTCATACTTCAGTTTTCGTTGATTTTCCCCTGGTGGTATGCACTTGGATACCATGTAGTTTACTATGTTAGCATATCACGTGTTGGAGTCGCGAACCGTCATCAGCATGTCATCTCTCAAGAGATCATTTATCGGTTGTTCCTGCATGTTAGTGATGTGCAATCTGGACAAATGATCTGCTACATAATTTTCTACTCCCTTTTTATCTTTAATTTCTATGTCAAATTCTTGGAGCAACAAAATCCATCTTAAGAGGCGTGGTTTAGCATCTTTCTTAGTGAGCAGGTATTTCAAAGCGGCATGATCAGTATAAATTATCACCTTGGCTCCCACTAAGTAAGATCTAAACTTATCGATAGCAAAAACAACCGTGAGCAGCTCTTTTTCAGTAGTTGCATAATTCAACTGAGCTCCGGTTAGAGTTTTGCTAGCGTAACAGATTGCATGATGCTTTTTATCCTTGGTTTGGCCTAAGACCGCACCAACAGCAAAGTCACTTGCATCACACATAATTTCGAAGGGCAGAGTCCAATCAGGAGGTTGAATGATTGGAGCAGAGACTAGTGCCTTTTTGAGAATTTTAAAAGATCTTAGGCACGCGTCATTGAACTCAAAGGGCGCATCCTTGGCTAGCAAATTAGTCAGCGGCCTGGCTATTGTAGAAAAGTCCTTGATGAACCTTCTATAAAAGCCGGCATGTCCTAAGAAACTGCAGATTCCTTTGATGTTCACAGGAGGAGGAAGCTGATCTATAACATCGATTTTAGTACGATCAACTTCGATTCCTCGTTCGGACACTCGATGCCCAAGAACTATCCCTTTACAGACCATGAAGTGTCACTTTTCCCAATTAAGCACCAGGTACTTTTCTTGGCATCGTTGTAAGAATTTGTCTAAATTCTGCAGACAATGACCGAAAGTCTTTCCATAGACCGAGAAGTCATCCATGAAGACTTCCATGATGTCTTCGATCATGTCTGAGAAAATAGACATCATACATCTTTGGAAAGATGTAGGAGCATTACACAGTCCGAAGGACATCCTACGGTATGCATAGGTGCCATACGGACATGTGAACGTAGTCTTACTCTGGTCCTCCAGATGGATAGGAATTTAATGATACCCGTAATACCCATCAAGGAAACAGAAAAACGAATGATTTGCCAGCTGTTCCAACATTTCATCAATGAAGGGTAGCGGGAAATGATCCTTTTTTGTAGCCTTGTTAAGTTTTCTGTAATCGATGCACATCCTCCATCCGGTTACGGTTCGTTGCGGAATAAGTTCGTTTTGAGCATTTGCAACGACTGTCATTCCTCCCTTCTTCGGCACAACTGGACTAGGCTAACCCACTCACTATATGGTACGGGATAAATTGATCCCGGCATGCAGGAGTTTCAAGACCTCTTTCTTTACAACCTCTTGCATTTCATTATTGAGCCGTCGTTGAGGTTCCCTGGAGGGAGTACTCTTGGGGTCAATAGGAATACGATGGGTGCAAAGCGCGAGATTAATCCCCCTAAGATCTTGAAGTGAGTAGCCAAGTACAGAACGATGCTTTTCCAATACGGTAGGAAGACGTTGAGTCTCGTCTTTAGAGAGCTTGTCACTTATTATAACAGGGGCCTCTCTGTCATTGTGTAGGAAAGCATATCGTAGGCCTAGAGGTAGAGGTTTAAGCTCAAGCGGAGGTTGAGGTGGCGGTTCCATGATTGGCAGGTCGAGAGTCTCACCGGGATCTGCTTCTTCCTTGATGAAATCGGGGACCTCATCTTCCAGAAGGGCCTCGGGAGACTCATGAGGAGGAACTGCGGTAACCTCTTCCACTAACTCAATTTCTGGGAGAGGGTCGGTCAAGGTGATCCTTGCCCGTGAAAATGGAATTGAGAATTCATTCTCTCCCAGTGTTATTTTGAGGCTACCTAAATGAGGTGTGTTGATAAGAAGTTGCTCAATGGGTAGCCTGATTAGGATGTCAAAATCTTGGATTTCAAAGACGTGGAAATCCAAGATTGCCTCCCTTTCTTCAAAGTAGACAAGTACATCTTGTACAATCTCAAATCCTTAAATGATATTTCCGTTCGGATGTTTGAAGAATTTGTTTATCGGGGTCACTGCCTTATCGCTTAAATAAGCGAATGCAAAAGACTCAGAGACGAGGTTGGCCCCGACAGTTGGACTATAGAGAATACCGACATCGTTCCCTTCCAGATGGCAAGGAAT